GGAAAATTCTTCACTGCCAATCGTATGGATTGTTTTAGGGAGTCCAAATTATCATTATGTTTAGAGTAAGCCCTACTCTTTAAAACTGACCATAAATCATAATCCAGCGGATTAAGATCGGGACTAGACGACGAGTCTTCAGCTCTGATGAAGTCGGAAACGTTCGTTTCCAACCAAGACTGCGTGGACCGAGCTTTATGACCCAGCGCCGAGTCTTGCTGGAAGGAGCATTGTTGATTATTGAACATGATGTTGTTAAGGGGCTTAACTACCTTCTCAAGAATGGTATTTTGATACACTTGTGCCGATGTTTTGATACCTTTTTCGCAAAAGTATGGCTCAGCCACTCCCTCATAGCTAACACCCCACCAAACCATCACTGAAGTCGGATAACGCCCACGTTGCATTCTGTCGACTGATTGAGAAGCTTCCTTAGAGCTTTGAGCATAAAAACGGTCATTTTGTTTGTTAAATTGTTGCGGGTGTCCATGGGCGGCGCCGATTGCTTACCATCAGGTAATCCGTCTGCTCGTTTGCCGACTTATACCATAAAAAAGAACTATGATAGTGATGATACCAGATGTAGTCTAAGATCCATATGTCTAGAGATTTTGATACTTGAATTCGATTCCGTTTGTTTTCGTTAATCTTCTGTCCTTGGCTTTTCCTAACTAAGTTTAGGTCGGTACACATTATCTAATATCTTAGTAACTAATATAAATTACAAAGTAACTAAACACGTGTAAATAATGTTGTTGCTTGTAAATAATGTTTTATATATAATATATCACTATATAATAGCGTGTACTAAGTAACCTAATAAACGAACTCTTGAACTGATAATAACAACTAGGTACTTTTTTTTTGTGAGGGGAAAATCATCAAATGACTTCTCCCGCCCAGGGCCGGGCGAGAGGGAGTGTCAGACTCTTACTGACTAAAAACCCCCCTGTTCCTTCTCCTGCTCTGTGCCGAAGTCGCGGTGCCTCATTGCGCTTACCCCGCAACCTCGGCTGAACATCAGCCCTTTAGGGCCCCGTCTGTGGTGGTCTATTGGCTCTTTGAGGCGCGCGCGGAACGCTACGCGCCGTACGCTCGGGCCTGGTTCTGGTCGGGCGGCGAGCTGAACAACTAGGTACTGACATGTATAATTGCAAACTTTTTTCTTTTTTTATGATATAATGCGGAAAACTCATTACCTATACGCTATAACCGGATTGCTAGCTACATGCTCTTAGACTTCCATAGCACCAAAAAGTTTTAAGTGCGTTGCTATTTTTTTACGGATTAGGGACCTACACTCCACTACAAAGAATCAACAAAGATCGCGATTTGTAAAGCCATACAATAATGACAAATTGGGGATAAGGGCTTCGGAGATTTAGGAATTGGGGAGGATTTAGAGGAAGGAAAGAAATATTGGGTTTGTGGTAACGTCACACATAATGCGGAATATAACGCTTTGGTCGTTTCACCCTCTGGAGCCGATACAATGATATATATACATTTAAACAGCTCGGGGCAGAAAAAAAAAGTGAAAGTTTTCAGTCAGTAAGAGTCTCACTAACGTCGTGGTGGCCCGGAGGTTAATGAGCCTGCTTCTCATACGTGAGGGAGTGGGTTCGAAACACTGGCAAGTACCAATGTGACTTTTTCCGAGGTATATGTACATTCTATTGATTATTTAGACACCACTGACATACCTCGCCCCCCAATTCTTTGAATGGTACTTCCTCCTTAAAAAAGTTCCAACTACAAAACTTTACCACGCTTTATTTATTTAAAGTAATTCTTTTATTTAACGTTAACAGTAAACGTCTCAAAGGTAGACAATATTCGAGATGGGCAGACGAAATAGTGAAAGTAGCAGGGCCCTGCTGGACGCAAATAGCCCAAGATAGAGAGAAATGGAAATCTTCAAAGGAGGCCTTCACCTTCGCTTAAGAAGGGGTTCTTGGACATGAAAACATGACTGCACGGTTGGTGCGGTGGCTGGGCAACTGGCTGCCGTGCAACGTGTCGTGGGTTCGATTCCCGCACGGAACAACTCTTAGTGTGATCCACAAATTGTTGTTCCGGGTCTGGGTGTCTTATGTATGTGAAAATGTATGTTTGTAACAGCACCAATGTACCTATGTTTGTGGGGCTACGTTTTTTTTTTTTTTTTTGTAAAAATAACTTTAAATATCTTTTCTTTTTCTAAAACTTTAAAGCCCTGTTGCAATCCAAAAATTAAAGGCGTTTTTTTTTATTTATTTATAATTATGTTATTGTTTGGAAATATGAAAATAGGAAGCCACGTATTCGTGGTTACTTTTTTATTTATCTGGTGGATGCTAACCTATATATAAACTGTGAAGTAGCCATGAGTATTGGAAATAGATGATTTATTATTTTTATCAGTGACATGTTTGTATGTCACTGATTATCTCTACCACCTATGAAGGGTGAAGAGTTCGAAAACAAGGTTATTTTTATTTGTTAGGACTGCAGGCTTGGATGCCATTTACCTGATGGGAAGCAATCGGCGCCGCTTATGAAAACCCGCAACATCAGAGTAGTTACGACTTCGTTGTCGGCCTTGTAGGTTCCTAAATCTCCAAGATCTCTAATCTTGGAGATTTAGGAATTATTGAGGGATGGAGGTAGGATTGTGCCTCTGATAACCCCACTCACTCGAACACAACACGTGTTGTGGTTTTTTTACGCTGGTTTTGAATGTCGAATGTCAAACGTCAAATGTCCCTACCAAGAGAAGTCGATTAAAGATATTATCTTTAATAAAAGTTTCCGATTATGACTTTTTATTTGAATGTATTTAACTAACTTTGCATTTAAAAGTCTTTTGAATAACACTCCCCACGCTACGTATACCGGTCCCCACTCTAGTGTATCAATATAATGTATGTTCTGCAAATCACTTTAACTATAAAAGATCAGACAGAGCCTGCCACTCCCGAAACATATAAAAATAAAACTCACAATAATTCATTAATACAAAAATATAAAATATATAAACCTTTGTCGCATTTTCCGTTCCAAGTCTGAAATGAGGTTAGACCAAAACTTAATACAAAACAAAATGTTTTAGAACACAAATTGATAAAAGGATGACGAATGTTTGTTATTAAACATAACCTACTGATAATAATATTTTTTTCGAAACTTCCAATCTGGTTCAATTACTAACTAATTCGAAGAAAAAAATGCTACAACAATATGCTAAAAACTAGGCCTACTATACTCGTTGTATTTTCTGTACCTAAAGTACTCGCATTTTTACAGAATTAATTTTCTCTTAGCATAACTATTTTTAGGAGCAATACCAAAACTACCTCTGTAATCAAATTTCCTTTTTTGAGGGGAAGAGGGAATCATCAAATGTCTCTTACCGTCCTGACTAGGGGCCCACCTGTGCCACAGTCAGGGCTCTTTCCGCTGTCAGACTCTTACTGACTAAAAATCAACCCGTTTCAAGTCATGGTCCAAATCAGGCTATGGTATAATAGCACATAAACAGCTTTAGCTGAGTGCTGTAATACCGTACCTGATTTGGATAAGAAAAAGGAATATTATGCGTTTTGTTTTGTTTTTATAAAAACTCTTAATATTAGCATGCAAGCATAAATAATTTTAAATAACCAAAAAAGAGGATTAATACATTAGAAATGTATACAATGTTATTAGTAATTACAATTAGTTAAGTATTTGCTTTGTCATTTTAAAGTAGATTTTGACTAATTGACATTTAATACGATAGCTAAATTGCCTGTGAATAAAATTTTTAGATCCACCTTTAGACCTTGTTTCTAAGGGAGAAAAAACATTCAATGAACCAATAATTTTTTTTTTTTGCAAATAGGCCATAAAACGGCACTTTTTTCGTTTCATATTTTCGGCATTTCCTATCTGACTATTTTGAGAAGAAATGCCGATACAAACTCAGAGGACCGTCTCTTTTTTTCAAATGTCTTTTCTTCTTCTTCTTCCATTCTAGCGAGAAGGAGTGTCAGACTCTTACTGACTAAAAACCACCCCATTCCTTCTCCTGCTTCAGGCTGGGACCGCACCCTATTGCTCTTAAACCCCGTTCCAACAAAAAATAATAATTAGATTTCCTTCTACATTATAATGAAATATTTTACCATCACCCAATTTTAATTATCAATTTTTAATTTTTATTTAAATTATAATATACATACTAGCTACTCTCGCGCGGTTTCACCCGCTGCTCGGCTCCATTTAATTGTAGCGTGACGTTTTAGCCTATAGCACTCAGGAATATTCTAGCTATCTATCAGTGAAAGAATTTTGGAAATCCAAGTGGTTCCAAAGATTACCCCCTACATACAAACTTACAAATTTTACCTCTTCATAATATTAGTATAGATAATATAAATAAAGAACTATAGATATACCGTTGTATGAAAAACGAATAAAATTACAATTTATTTTTACAGTGCCCCAAAAACTAAATCCACGAAGGCTATTTTTTTGATGCTATTTTTCGGTTGTAACCCTTTAGCCGATAATAAAAAGATAATAAACATAGGACTTGAGCCTAGTTTAGGCAACAGTCTTCCTCAATATATGCCTACTTAAGTAAATGAATCATATATCACTGTCCAATTTGACCAATGTAGGTAATATAATTACGTATCTATATACGTGGTGTGAATAAAAAAATAATCGCGTACCAAAAAAGTATAAAGCGTTCATTCATCTTGAAATAAAATACCGCATTATTTTTATCTCTTTCCTCAACCAAACGAACTAGCTTCGCTACTAATGCCTACAAAACGAAATTCTAACTTGTTAAGCTAAAACTATCCTTACAATCTACAATAGTAGAACATTACTATTGACCTATGGCCATAAACTTATCAATTACGAATATTCTTATTAGAAATTTGTATTCGTAATTTGGTGGCTTCTGATTGGTCGATGATGCTCGTCTATATAAAGGGGTGTTGTGGTTGACTCTGGCGCACTTACCTACAGTAGCAGGTAGCCGGGAGACGTACGATAGTTATAATTTTAAAAGACTGATTTTGTGTTACTTTTACCCCTATCAAGATGGGGAAAAGTAGTATTAGCGTTTTAAGTGTTATTTTATTAATTTCCGTTTTATGGAAACCAACTATCGCCAATGGTGAGTCTTTTATAAAATTTTATTTATTTTCATATTGCAATTGGTTGTGTAATTCTGTATTTTATCGATATTATTTTACTAATTTAATGTAACTTTGGAAAAATGTTCAGAAGTTAAAATGAATAAAGTTTTCTGAAGTTTGAACAAAGCTATCAGTAAATAAATGTACTAAAATTACACAACCAGTTTGCGCTTTTTAATTCTACAGAAAAGCTAATTTTATATTAAATTCCAAAAATCTTCTTAAATATTCGGAAAATACAGTAGTTATTTCAAAAATCGAATCTATTGTTTTTAATGAATACAGCTGTCACTTTTAATAAATTCTTAACGTTTTAAGAGTGTTAACATAATTTTCATGTTTTCTTTAAAATGTGGACAGATCTAGATGGATCTATATTTGATGATTCCTGATCATTATAAGTAGGTACAGTCAGGGGTCAAAAATACAATTGCACTCTACCAATTTTAAAATGACTAAAATATCTTAGTAGAATAGAGCCAATGGTTGAGGACTGCTTAATCTAAATTATTGAATAAACTGGCTGTGAACCATTGAACTTTTACTACAAAGAAATTTTAGTCATTTTAAAATTGGTAGAGTGTAATTGCATTTTTGACCCCTGACTGTCAACAATCATTCATTATCGATCTAATGGTAAACTACTTAGTCCGCAGCCCTTATTTCGAAATAAAACCGTTACTAAAAATACATTTAGTAATCGAAAAAATTCTCTTAACACGGCTGTTAGATTAATTACTTATTATACTTCAATAAACAGAAAAAACTATACAACCTATAAAAAATGAACTAATGACACGAAATTAAAAAATATAACAAGATAAAATTATTCATAATTGAATTAAGCATAAAGCTCAAAATTGACCGTGAACTTGGATTTTTTTCAAAATCGTTAGTCAAAACATTATTTTTTATCAAAATACTGAAGGTTAGGGAAATATCAACAGTAGACCACTAGCGGTTTTTGTTGGATAACAGACCTCCACTACACAGTTTTACGTAATCCCCACAGATTTAGTTGAAAGATTGGGGATTAAAGTGTAACAAAGTCAAACGACACTAGATAGCACGAAAAATAAAAAAAAACTGATGTTTATTGTGAATTTCAAAATTTAAAAAATGATATCTGGTTCAACTTACTTATCGTCACATATTGTCTTATAAATAAAGTTCTGAAAGCCATAGGCACTTTCAGTTGAAAGAAACAAAATATCATGATTATATACCTATTTATTTATTAATCATGTACATCACACATACAGTAAATAAAAAAAACGAATACAGAAACAGAATCACATAGATACTGCATTTTATTAAAAATGTAAGCGAAACAAGACACTTTTTGGAACTAAAAAAGGAGTAACAAATTAAACAAAATAAAAAGGTAACAATTTTAATAAAACTGAACACCCAATAAAGCTTATACAGCACCCAAAAGTTTTAAATTCTTGTCTAATGAGCTGGAAAAAAAACATCGCAATCAGGACAGAATCCACCTACACACATCGGGCAAACAGCAAAAATTTCTCAGAAAAAAAAAACAGCCAAGGAAAAAAACATGATTGCCAAAATTATAGCGATAAGTACAATTGAGACCAAAGTGTTGTTAACAGCGAGATAAAAACGTTAACAATTATATTATTATTTGCAAAATACTGATAAAAGTCAACTTTGACCTGAGATACGACAATATCTCTCTCCAATGTCATTAACGGGTATCAGAAACACAATTAGGTATTTTATTGACATTATTTGTTACTTTATTACAAAGTTTTCATTAATTTCTTCTACTTCAATTAGTAATTGTCGTGAGACATACAAAAATTGTTGAAAACTATCTTTTGCTTGCGACTCCATTCGCGTGGAATAGTGACTTCTTGCAGATTTTGACTAAATTTTGAAAACTATCCTATGTCCTTTCTCGAGTTCCAAACAAAGTCTGCACCAAATTTCACAAAAATAGGTTCAGTGGTTTAGGCGTGAAAAAAACACAGACAGACAGAGTTACTTTCACATTTATAATATAGTTTGGACTTGAAAGTAGGTGAGCTTTTCTCTGTTCCTTTTCCTAATTTTCTGATGCATTATTTTAGTACACATGTAATCTTGACAAACGAGTCTTTTTGTATTCTAGAGTTATTCTTTTTCCTTATTTGTTAAGAATGCATAGTTTTAAACCAAGCATTTTGCCTTTCACAGGCGTGTTTCATTTGTTTGCCATATAAGACCTAATTTAGAGACAGCAAAATGTAGCCACATGCTACCAAACATTTTTATTCGTGTTAAGTTTCATTTTTAAATTCTCTAACAATTAACTTCTTTAAAAAAGAGATATCGCAACTTAAAGTAAAATTTTATCATCGAAAAGCCTTGACAATGGCCACTGTCCATAGATAATGAAGGGGTTATATTTATTATATTATTAATAATACGTGTATAGATAACATTTAGCAGTATTTAGCTTAAAATTATCACAAACAGAGCTTATCAAGCGTTTGTTCTTTGTTTTTCAATAATTGGATATTGTTTGGTCTTTTGTCTTTATACGGATATAAATAATATAGGTATAATGGTAATGAAGGTATAATACAAGATCGTGATAACAGTAGGTATAAATATCACAGCTCATCATCAGGCTTTTCTAAGCTATTTAGGCTACTGAGATAGGTGAAGGTCAACATCGTGAATACGATGGAACGAGCAAATAGCTCCACTAAAAGGACTGAACGAGAGACTGACACTATATCTTCAAAATTATGTTTGACGTTCAAAAGTGCCTGTAAGTGTCTAACTGAAATAAATTATTTTTGACTTTGACTTAATAAACCTGGACTAGTAATATCTAATTACAAGTTTGAAATCGTAAATCTGCACAGAGCAAGCGTGACAGTTGATGATGAAACCTTCTCCCAGTGAGAAGAGGCCTTTGCTCAGCCGTAGGCACTTCTAGGTTTTAGATGTGACCACTAAGCGAGTGGGTGGGTTATAAAGCTTTGAGAAGAACAGTATATACCTACATAGGAACCATTAAACCTCTTCATACAATCATCAAAATCAAGGGCAATGATTGCAATGATTAATTTTCGGACGCAAAACACGATAAACCTACTGAAAAGTGGTAAATAACAAAAGGGAATAAAGTCAAAATTGGTTCTGATGGACCAACAAAGTCATTATTGCCAGTCCAAGATCTAGATGGAACCAAAATTATCGTGATTATGACTGAGATGATTTTGAAAAATGTTAATACGACTACGGTGGATTCATATCCCGTCAGCATCAATTATTCGCGTCCCAGCTGTGTACGGATGTGTCAGTTTATCGATCTCTTTATCTGACGTTAAAAGCTTTGTTCCGTTCTCCCAGAAAGATCAACCCGAATTCATTGTGTTTGGTTGTTTGATACACAAACAGACAAACATTATGAGGGTTTAAGCTTTCTAGAACATGTATAATTTTTAAAAGTATTGCTTTTGTTTGAACATGTGATTTGACATGAAAAATGTTTAAATTTTGTTCTATTGCTTTACGGGATAAATCTGTATGGTGTCTTTCTTTTTGTTTTATAGTTGTAAGTATAGTTTAGATAGTAAGTAATCTTATTAATTCTTAGGGTGTAATAATATTTTCATTATTAGTTTTCATATTCCTTTTATCATTACAAACACCCTTGATGTTGTACAAATTTGCTCAGTAAGATTTTGTTACTCTGAATCAAGTTCATACGTTTATGAAATGTCACGATGGTAGAATTTTGATTTTACGGCAGTAGCAACTTACTCTCTTACTGAACTCCCGACTAAAACAAATTTTGCCAAATTTTGCCCGACTAAAACAAATGTACGAATTATTTTAACACCTTAAACAACGCCAAGGTCTCAAAGAACAGTCTGGATGGCCAAATATGGGTCGTATATTATAATTTTAATTTAGAGGTTATTGTGGCGGGTCGCCAAACTCTGGCTCCTGTCCCCTCTCCGAGACAAATTGGATAATCGGCTGTTTATCAAGAGGGACGCGACTCTGAGGGACATTGTGCATGTGTGTGACGCTGACTGAGAGAAAAGCTTTCTAATTGAAACAAAGAATAAACAAGATCTACATTTGATAGGGGTTTTGGTTGAATGTATTCCATCTTAGACGGATCTGGTATCTGGTTCAGAAATAAATGGGATTGACTAGTTAGCATTTTTTTCTTTATAGGCGAATCCGGTTTCTGATACAGTAATAAATGAGATTGTCTATTTTGCGTTTTTTTCTAGACATAAAACAGCATATTTGTCAGGCAATATTTTTTAGCATTTGTTCTAAATGGCTTGTATAAATTACTGAAATTGTTATGATGAAATTCCTTGTCTTTAACCAACTGCGTATCTTTTTTTGTTTCTCTAAATGCAAAATCATCATCAATCTCAGAATTGGCTTCATTACCTCCAACATTATGTACTTAATTACTTTCTTCAATATCTAGGTAAATAAGAAAACCTTGAAATAGCATATGGTTCCTTATCATTCTGAGTCATACGGTCATTGCGTGCGATGTTCACATTTGACCCCATCGATCCGGGATCTACTTTGTTGTCAATGTTTAATTTAATAGCGGAATTGTACCTTGAACTATCTGTTTACATACTCTAATGATTATTTACTTCTATGATAGCTTTGTTATCAAATTTCTTGTGTTCAATATTGTTATCTGGGTCTACTGTTTGCATTTTCTAATTATACTTGGGAAAATTGTCACGTAGGTATTCGTTTATTTGTTAATAACATTTTAGTATTTTTTTAACATTCCAGGGTTTCGTGTATTTTACTATATGAAAGTAGTTTGTTTAAATCGTAATACATATTGATTTACAAATTCATTCAGTACAAACAATGTCAGGGTCAACGGAAATAATTGAAAGATGAACGAAAATTTGTCGATAGTTAAATCCTACGTAACAATCGGTTTGAACTTGTTATTTGTTTTCTTGTAAAGGTTATCTACCGGGTGATCCGTGACAATGTTACTAACGTTCATTAAATAGAAATTAATAATGATATAGTAGACAAATATTGGTTTTTAATAATCTTTCATTAGCACTTTAGAGAGTGCTTTATTTTTATAAATATATTCTTTGTAATCATCAGTAAAGTTTTCTGTAACAAAGAAGCTATTGTCATGTAGTTTATCACCAAGTGTGTAATTACTCTTAACTGTTATAATTAAGTAATTGACACAAATTACTTTGTTTGTTTCAGATAAATGCTCTCTAGGATGCAAAGGATGTAAGTATACTTTTTCTTTTATTATCTTTTACGTTACACTTGTGTTATCAGAATGTCCTTTCTCAATAATAAGAACATTATTATTTCCTGATCCATTATTGTCATATTAATTACATTTATTCTCTTCTATAAAAAATGCCACAATTCAATCGTTATTAAAACGGTTTTGGTATCTTATAGGTTCATAATTTTTTACTTTTCCTATATCATTGGTAATCAATATTTGTTTAATAATATATGCAGTTATTTATTTACATGTTAATTTTTTCCAGCCCCGACTACCCAATCTTTCCTGAACGGACATAAGTACAACTATGGCGTCGAAGGCACTGTTACTGTCTTCCTGACAGGAGCTTCCAACCAAGAGACCAGTGTCAAACTCCTGGGACAGGTCTCCGTCTCCTCTGTAGGCAACTGCGTACACGAGCTGTCTGTGCAGAACTTGGTGATCTCTGGCCCTGATGGCAAGGTTAGTCAAAAACTTCTACCAACACGAAATTAAAAATCCGAAAGCAACTTATATTTTTTCTGTTTTAATTCATTTCAATATATCTACTAACCATTAAATTTTCTTACAGAAACACCAAAGCCCGCCCGGTATTGACAAACCAATCCGCTTCACTCTGCAAGATGGCCGCACCGGTCCCGAGATCTGCGCTGAGGAGGGTGACACTCGCCGCTCCCTCAACATCAAGAGGGCCATTATCTCTCTGCTGCAGACAGAACAGAAGTCATCCACTCAGGTGAGGAATAGCTTTCCATATTTCAAACCCTTTTTAATATTAATATCTGAAAAAACAATCAGATGTATTCTTTGCTACTAACGTAATTGCCGAATTGTCCAAGTGTACCTAGCCTAATTTCATACAGATTACATTACTCTAGATTACATCAGGGATTTTAATAAGAGAAAGATTGAAAAGACGATGATTATCCGGGCACAACCCCGACCTTCGTTATTCACTTGTTATGTACATTTTACTTAACCAAATACCATTTTCTACAGGTGGACATCTTCGGAACATGCCCCACGGAAGTATCATCATCTCAGGAAGGTAGCGCAGTACTGGTCCACCGCAGCCGCGATCTGTCCCGCTGTGGACACCGCGAGCAGGGCAAGAACGACCTCGTCACTGGTGTCTTCAACCCCAGCGCCGTAAGTATAATCCAACAATTCTTCTAATTGATATTAAGATATGAAAACATAGATTCTTAATAAATATCATGGAAAGATAAAAAGATATCTACTAAAAGAACTATCGACAATTATCCGAATATCAAAATAACAAATAGTAGTTGACTTAAAACAGAAATTGTTTTCAATATTTTAAGAGCTTGGTAATCAGACTTGCAAGCGCTTACAAAAAAGCGTCAAAAACATATCAGTTTGAATACATAAATCATTGTGTTATTAACTATTTCTATACGATTGTCTGCCAGGAAATCAAGGACACCCAAGTTCTTCAGTCCTCGATGAACGTGGAGACCAAGGTCAACAATGGAGTACCTGAAAAGGTGGCCGCTACTGAAGAGTACCTGTACAGACCTTTCTCTGTCGGAGAAAATGGAGCCAGGGCTAGGGTCCACACCAAGCTCACCCTGACCGGCAAAGCTAGGGCTGCTAACAACCCAAGTAAGTGTTCACAAAAATTTTAGTCAAATAATGCCATTTATAATATCAGAGAATTCTTTATTTATCAATATATTCTGTGTTCAAATTAAAAAAAAACCTATTAGTATTTTACCGTACTAAAAAGCAGTATCAAAATACCAAATCAATAACTTTCTTTTCAATTTCAGGCCACTGCACTGAAACCCGCACCATCATCTTTGAGAACCCCCATGGCGTCACCATGAACCAGAACAACATGCAATCCGCTCTCAATGCCGTTAAGGAGACAGCAAAGACTGTCGCTACTGAAGCCAGCTCCAAGTCTGCTGGAAACTTCGCCCAGCTCGTCAGGGTGAGTACCATTTTTTTGAAGAAATCAGTCATTCAGAGACTTTAAGATCTACTTTGTTCTGAACAAGTTTTCATGTAGTAGTTTTTTTTTCTAACCTTACTTATTACTCATTTCTCTAATCAGATACTATCCTAACACCATTTTTCTTTTCTTTGATATCTGTTTTCCTATTCATGACGATTTATTTTCGTCACTTTATTGTAATCATTTCTTTATAATTATAATGAAATGTTTTAGGTCCTCCGCACATGCAGCAAGGATGACCTCATGAAGGTCTACAGCCATGTCAAGGGCAACAACGTTGAGAAGTAAGTTTTTGAACTTCAGTTTCTGATATATTTTTTTATCGCTAAAAGTGTTTACCGTGTTAACTAAAAAACTATATTACTAACTTCTTTATAAGCTTGCATTTTAGGCTTAGTAACATATTCTTGTATTAATCTTGCTTAATTGTAATTTTTTCGCTTCTACCAGGCGCGTCTTCCTTGACGGTTTGATCCGTGCTGGAACAGGCTACAGCATTGAGGCTTCCATCCAACTGCTGAAGAGCAAGGAATTGGGTCCCATCGAACAAAAGCTGGTCTTCTTCTCCTTGAGCAACGCCAGGCACGCCAACAACGATGCCTTGAAAGCTGCTGCTGTAAGTTGATAACATATGTCAATATGAGAGTTTTGAGCACTTATAATGAAGAAAAAAAATTAATATACTAAAAAAACGTCAAAACGCCTGTAATAACTAACACCGCGCTCGACGAAGTTTATGAATAGTTTGAACGCTGCAACAATTTATTCCCTATTGTAAAATGTTGCATGGTGGGTAGGCAACTGGCTGCCGCGCCGCGTGTCGCGGGTTCGATTCCCCGACGGATCAACTCTTTGTACACAAATTCACAATCCACAAATTGTTGTTTCGGGTCTAGGTGTCTAATTGTGAATATATGACAATATGATAATTGATTAATATAAATGTGATAATTGACTAAATTAACAACCTTTCTTTTTTACATTCCCAGGGCCTTTTGGACTTGCCGAATCTACCCAGGGAAGTATACCTCGGCGTTGGTGCCTTAGCTGGTGCCTTCTGTCGTGAACATCAATGCCACCACAGCAAGAACGATGGTATTGTAGCCTTGAGCAACAAGCTTGGAGCCAAACTGCAGAACTGCAGGCCTAAGAGCAAGGTTGAAGAGGACAATGTGAGTTGACTAAATATTTTTCATAATACAGTTAGATAGACATCAAAGAATACACCTGTATCGCTGTAATTGGGAAAAGTTTTCAGAAGACTGTTGACACGTTGTATGATTTGTTTTAAGATAGGCATGTCCAAAATATAATATTATGAATTTATTACTAAAGTTATGGCTATGAAAAAAACTTCATATTCGAAATTGTCTTCTTCAACAGGTCGTAGCAATCCTGAAGGGTATCCGCAACATTCGTCACTTGGAGGACTCTCTGATCGACAAGCTGGCTCACTGTGTCAGCGACAACAATGTTAAGGCCAGGGTTAAGGCTGCAGCGTTGGAAGCTTTCCAGGCTGACCCTTGTGCTAGCAAGGTAAGAAAACTTAATTTCATAAATATATTAGAGGTCTTACTAAATTTTTAAACAGTTATAGTACAGAAGTTATATTACAAAAACGATTTTTAAAGAAGGGTAATCCAAACATTAATTTTTCTTCAAATAATAAACTCAAAGTAATCACATAATCTGTTCTCGACAGCTGAAGAAAACCGCCATTGACATCATGAAGAACCGTCAGCTGGATTCTGAGATCCGTATTAAGGCCTACTTGGCTGTCATCTCTTGCCCCTGCTCACACTCCGCCTCCGAGATCAAGAACTTGCTCGACTCAGAGCCAGTCCACCAAGGTAATAAATTGCAATTTTATAGCCGATAAAAAATAATGTGTTTCATAATACGAATTATGAATACGTGATGTCACTCATTTATTATCACAAAACAAAAAATCTAATTATTTTATTAAAGTAATTTCATTGTCTAAATAGGCGTTTATTAAAGCTTTATGTACTTTTCAGGGCATTTCATTAGACTTTGTTAGGCTCTTAAATAAAAAATGAATTCCTTGTATACTGCTGTTCCATGATTACTAATTAAAATATCTATTTCAGTTGGCAACTTTATCTCGACCTCCCTCCGCAACATTCGCTCGTCTTCCAACCCCGACAAGAAGTTGGCTCGCCAGCACTATGGTCTTATCCGCACACCCAACAAGTTTAACACCGATGTCAGGTAAGATCATATTTCATTGTTTCATTGTTTACTCACACACATACTATCCAGTTTCATTTATTGATGATCGATATTGTTACAAACGTCTTGCCTTGATCTTTTTGCAACTGATTTGACTGATTTACATGTTCTTTTCATTATAACATCAAGCTTTAAATATAGTGTAATCATTCTGAGTTAGCTTTCATCCCATCTGTAATCTCTTTCAATGTTGTATTTTCACAAACCTATTCTTTTCCAGGAAATACTCTTTCTCTGAGGAAGAATCCTTCAACGTCGATGCTCTGGGTCTCGGTGGAAACATCGAGAAGAACATCATCTACTCTCAGGACTCGTTCTTACCTCGCTCCGTGAACATGAACCTCACCTGTGAAGTCTTCGGACACAGCTTGAATGTTCTTGAGGTTCGTATTTTCATCGGTTGTTTTAAAAACCTTTTTAAACCCCTTAATATTTTTCCTGATTCTTTCAATCTATCTAGTTATATTCAAAACATTTTATAGCCTTGGTCAATGCACAGTATCACCAATTTTTTTTTTGATCAACAAGGCTTTATAATATTCTTTTACTAAAATCAGGTTGGAGGTCGTCAAGGCAACTTGGACCGCGTAGCCGAGCACCTCTTCGGACCTAAAAGCTTCTTGCGCACTGAAGAACCCCAAGAATTGTACAACAAATACGTCGAGAAGTTCAACCAGTACAAGGACAAGGTAGAGGGTGGCTTCCACAGAGGCCGTCGCTCCATCAAGAGTGATGTCGACAGCTTTGACAAGAACGTAAGTTATCTTTATAGTGCGATACTGTTTTAGATCTATTTGAATTTTTGGATCCAGTACTATTTCAAATGATAACAAATCTACCGATATTTTGGATATTTTATAATTCATCGTATACTTTAATTTTGTAGTTGAAAGCTGAAGCTGCTCCCTTCAACAACGAATTGGACTTGGACCTGTACGTCAAACTTTTCGGAACTGATGCTGTCTTCCTATCACTTGGAGATGACAAGGGCTTCGACTTCGACAAGATCATCGACCAGTTCATGCAGTACCTGAACCAGGGCATGAACCAAGTTAAGCACTTCCAGGTAACTAAATTTCTATACACTTGAAGCCCGATTTGAAAAAAAGCCTAGTACTTTATTTTGAAGATTCTTCTAAGAACAAAGTAACAATTTTTATTTCTTTTCCATTTGCAGCAAGAATTCCGCGCTCACATGCTGTTCATCGATGCTGAGCTCGCCTACCCCACCTCCACTGGTCTGCCTCTGAAGCTTGACATTGTTGGAGCCGCTACTGGTCGCCTTGAGGTCGCCACAAACATCGATATCCGCCAATGCATCAGCAACCCTAAGGATGCCAAGATCGACATCAAGTTGGTCCCCAGCACTGACATTGAAATTACTGGAGCTTTATTAGTGGACGCTGATGCTATCGCCGCTGGTCTTAAAGTCATCGTCAACCTGCACAGTTCTACTGGTGGTCATGTTGTCGCTAAAGTACTTGAGAATGGCCGTGGTTTCGATCTACAAATCGGTCTCCCGGTCGAAAAGCAAGAGATCGTCACTGCCTCCAACGACCTGGTCTACTTCTACGCTGAAAAGGGACAAGTTGAGAAACACACTCCAATTAAGATGGACAATGTTGTGAAGGAGAACGCTGGTTGCTTCGACCAAGCTGCTGACTTTATTGGATTGACTGTCTGTGGAGAAATGACCGTGCCCTTCACTGTTTCTGGTAATATTCTTTCTTTTTCATTACAATGAAGCTAGAATGTGTTACTTTGAGTTTATAAACTTACGCGTCTTTATTACTTTCAGGACCTGATGCTCAAGCTTCAATCGCCAAGTACCTATCGAGCTACCCATTGACTGGAAAGACTAAGTTCCGCGTAATGTTGGAGAAACAGAACCTCAAGGGATACCACATCAAGGGCGTTGCCCGCTCAGAACCAGGAAGTGGCAGGGAGTCCTTCGAACTGCTCTTTGACGCTGAAGGTAAAATATGTTGTATAGTTTCGTGAATAAATGACAAAATATTTTAGGTATGTTCTTTTGATAATTACGAAAACCAACCAAACTAATTCTGATTTCCCTTATAGGTGCCAAATACGGCCGTGCTCAACTTTTGGGTGAATACGTCTACAGCAAGAACGAGATGGGTGCTCTTTTAGCTTTCAACTCGCCCATGAAGACCATCTCTGGACAAGCCACTTTCTACCGCAAACCCAGTGAAATGACCGTCGTAGTCAAGGGCAAGTACGACGCCAACGAAATCTACGGTAAAGTTGGTTTCAACGTACAAGGCGGCGGTAACCGCAAGGTTTACAAGCCCATCGCTGAGTACCAGATGCCAGGAGAAAAGGACAAGCACAACATTCCTATTTCTGGACAAGTTGTCGAAGAAGTCGGTGGTGGTAAGACCAAATACTCCATCGAAAACATTAAAATGAACTTACCTAGTGTCAAGGACCCCATCTGCATTGACGGACACTTCGCCACTGCTGGCGACAACGAAGTTGAATTTGATACCACTGTGAAGGACTTGGCTTCTCTCAAGGGATCAGTGAAGAAGAACGATGTCAACATTGAGTTCCAGAACAGGTTGAACCCATACATCAACTTCAGGCTGAAGGGTCACTTCGAATACGAACCTATTGTAAGTAATCTTCTAACTAAACATATAATAATAAATGAATAATCTCATGATAGCTGTGCTAACTTAATTTTTTGTTAAAAGGCTCGCAATGAAATCGACCTGATCTACGGTGGTGATCTTAAGAACACACAAAACCGCGTCGTTTTCTCACAAATGTTGAAATACCACAAGAACAGCCCGGAAGACTTTAACATTATCACCAAGAACAAGTGTAAGTATAACAGAACGAGCCATCATACAAATGAAAATCTGTATTTAATCAGATAAATAATGCTTAAAATTAAACTTTCCTTTTTTCTCAACAGTCGAAATCCATGCCGTGCCTCTGAAGGTCAAATTCGACGCTGACATTGACCCCAAGAAGGTAGATGTTGAAGTTGAAGGTCAATACATGGACAAGAAGGCTGACTTTGATCTCGAAGCCAGGAGTCAAATCAAAAAACCAGGAGACTACAGCATTAAGATGAAGGCACTGTATGACAAGAATGGAGTTGAAGTCTTCGCCAAGAGAGACATCGTGTCCGCTGACAAATCGAACCTCGAAAACTACATTGAGTTCAAGAACATTGGCAGATACGAACTGTCTGGAGTGCTGCTCCACAAAACCAAGCCTAATGACATGAACGTTGGCGCCATTGGTCACCTGAAGGCCACAGTCGGCAGCAAAACACAGGACATCAAGTGAGTTTATTTATTTGAACTAAATCTACTAATGTATACCTATTTTGCTATAGGTAATATTCATGTTATGTTTACTAAAAATATTTTAGTTTGATAAAAATTGTAATAAATGGTTTTTACCCTCAGGTTCGACATTGGAGCGATCGAAACCACAAGCTTGTATTCTTCTCACGCCAAGATCTCCGAGAGTCAGGGAGACATCATTGACTTCCTGCTGAAGACTACTCGTGGACCCAACGCCAATGGACAACTGAAGCTGATCATTAAGAATGCTATCTCTGCCAACGGACAGTTCAAGTTTACTGAGAGCGATGGCAAGGGCAATGGAATGATCATCGTTGATTTCAAACAGGTGAATTTTGACAAGACCATTATATTTTTTTTATTTCTGATCTGCATTATTATTATTATTTACTTTTCCTTTATTAGAGTACGTTGCCATCGGTAGAGAATGAGTATAAAGTCTCAAATAAAAGACAGAAACTTAACGACTTTTCTTTTTCTTAACCAGGCTCAACGCAAGATCAAGGGAGACTTCAAGTTCATGGCGAAGGCTCCAGCATACGGCGCTGACGTCGACATCTTCCTCAACTACGAGAAGAACAACAATGACAAGATCCACTTCAGCACCAACACAAAGAGGACTGACAAGATGCTGGACTCCAAGTAAGAAAGATGTTCATTAGTAAAGCCAGAGATTATCGTAATAGCCATTTAAAGTATATATTATAATCTTTTAAAATCTGACTTCTTTCTAAGCAATCACATAAGACCGATCATAAGAATCTGAATTGCATTATATCTTAAAATAAACTTTCTATTCCTTCACCAGGAACAAATTTGAGTATTCTGGCCAGAAGTTCGAGCTGAATGCCCGCCAGGAAGGAGTGCTCACTGCTGTTGGAAAAACCCACGGCATGATCGAGGTCGTCCTGCCCACTGAGAGGTGCATCAGCCTGAAGGTGGACCGTGACATTAGCCAGAGCAACGATGTAAGTACACTTTATACACAAATGTTCAAAATCAAGAAATTATGTAAGAGTTTACATTTTCTTTCTTTTTAAATGGACACTCCATAAGCACTTTCAAAGAGCAGTGCAATCACCACTATATTTATTATTAATAATCATTTTTCGTAATCAAATAATACAATCCATCATATCAATCCATGGTAAAATTGTTAGAAATGACTTCTACAATTTCCAAACTAGCATGAGCACACAAAAATTAGCTGTTACAAATTATAATATTATCCAGGAACAGTCTAATGATGGTATTCCACGCATGCGAAATTGTCAGGCTTTCTTACTGTGGTAATTAACTTTAATACAATGTCTATTTCCTCAGAAATACAATGGACATGCTGAGGTCGTGCTCTCAGACGCTGCCAAGCGCGGAGGAGCAGCTTCCATCATCAGCTACAAGGGCAAGGCTAGCAACACCAACTTCGACAAGGACATCATCAACTACGAAGGCCAAGTAGAACTGAAGCTGAAGGATGGCCAGAACCTGTTGAATACTTTCAGTCTTAAGAACAACCCTGAAGGAGACAAATTCAAGTTTGACTTCAAATATGACGTCACCGGTAACTTGCTGCCCAAGCCCGTTTCCCTGGTTGCTAGTGGAACCTACGTGGACTCCTTGACTGAAGCTGATGACAAGTACCGTGTCAAGGGTAGCTATGGAGATGACACCAGCTTCGAGTTCGCTGGCGTCATGCAGGCTAAGCTTTTGGAGGGTGATAAGAAGTAAGTAGCGAATGACGACATTTTGTATATCATTGGATATTATTGACAGCCAAGCAATGCATTTTTTTCTCTGTTTCTCTGTTCCAAAATGAGCATTTCAATTTTCGTCTTTCTGTTCTTAGACTTTATAAATTTAACGTATACCAACAGGTACTTGGATGACTTCACCGTCAACGTGAGACTGCCATTCGAGAAAGCCCATGACATCAGGCTCGTATCCACTGTGCTTTACGTCCAACCTGAGAACAAGGATGTCGTCGAGGTAAATTAAACTTTAATTATTTCCGGCACAGATTTGAAAATACTTTGATACTTTTTGGAACAATGATAAAAATAATTTGTTTTTCCCCCAGTTCACCATTGTAGAATCCATCCAAGTGAATGCTGATGTTTACAAGATCGATGCTAACGGCAAGGTCAGTCCTCAGACTGGTCTGTCAACCTTGAAACTTCTTGTGCCCCACGTAGACCCTGTTGTCCTGGACGTCAACTACAAGGTTGACCAAGATGGTTCGTATATTTACCTATTATTTCTTGGTTTAAAATAACTTACTTAATCACAATGATACATTTTATAGAGGTTTGTATTACCACACTCTGAAAGCAGTTTCTTAGCACTAGGCTGACCATCCAGTAATCTTAAACGTGTTGTTGAGCTGTAAAACAATTAAAAACCTTTAGAAATCGTATTTGGCCTTTCCTTCATGACTAATACTAACCATATTTTCAACAAATCATGTACATCTTTTGAAAACGAACATTAATATCTCCGCAGGAGACAAGTACAACAACCATGTTGAAATGAAGGCTAAATACGGCAAGGGCAAGTCTGCTATCATCTCCATGGACGCCGAAGTTGCTCCTCGTGACAACAAGGTCAGCATCAAGGCTAACGCTCCTCATGCTGAGGGCCTGAAGAAACTGGAGTTCAGCGTCCACTCTAAGGTAAGAACTAAAGATTACATTTTGATTGTTTACTTTACTATCAATTATACAATGAAACAATGAATTTATTTTTGCAAATAGGCCATAAAACGGCACTTTTACACGTCAAATTATGTGTGCAAAAACTAGATGAACGTTTGTTCCACAAAAGCCTGTCTTCTTTTTGTGTGATATTCTAACAACAGTACAATTATTTTTTCACAGAACCCCTCACCCGACACCTACATCTCCAACGTGATCGTCGACGCTGATGGCCGTGTGTACAAGTCTGACTCCATCATCGTGCTATCTAAGGCTCATCCTCAAATTGATGTCAAATACACCAGCCCATCTACACCTAAACCAAGCAGGTAAACATTAAAAAAAATATGAGGAAAATACTCAATTTTAAAAAGAGGTTAAGCCACCAACATCTCGTAATAATCTAGCAACAGTCCAGTCATTGCACTAATCTTTCATATTATTGAGTGCAACTACCTAATAATACATTTTCTCCAGGCTGTACCTGAAGGGAAGCTCCTTGAGCTCAACTCAAGGCAAGATTGAGGTGAAAGTTGAGAACATCCGCGACATCAACTTCGACTGCGTCTCTGAAGGCAACGTGCAGAAGGACAATGTCAACTTCAAGATGACCGCTAACTCTGAGAAACTTGGCATGAAGAACTACCAGGTGGAAATCGCCAGCAAGGACGCTGGAAACGGCAAGCGATTGGAGTTCCACGCTACAAATGACAACAAGAATGTTCTTAGTGGAAGGTATGTTGATTTAAAACTGTCTACAGATACTACTAATAACTTTAATTGCACCATGAATATAAACTCAATTATCACAATTTACCGTTTCCAGCACGTCGTACATCAGCAAACAGGAAGGTCCTAAGATGATCATCGAAGGATCTGGTGCTGTCAAGGTCAAGGATGAACAAAAATCCGCCAACTTCAAGTACATCCGCACCATCCTCGGCGAAGGAAACGAGAAGGGTGTTGAGGTTTGTATTCTAGCTTTGTATTTTATTGACTGCTTCAATTGTAGAAACCATTTTATGATCACTAGTGATGATATCTAGTAAACTTTATGAGGAACCAATAGTGATTGTACCGCCTAGCTTATTGCTCAATAATTTTATTAAAGAAACCAACCATAATCTGATCAACCTTCCTTCAGACCTTCTTCAACATGGCTATCGGAGAACGCAGCTACGTCGCTGAATCTCGCGTTACCAACTTGGAATACAAGAACTCATACGTCTACTGCGAGGAGAAGAAACAGTGCGCTCACGCCGAAATCAACTCTAAGATCGACACATCCAGTAAGTTTTTAACAAACTTCCTGTGACGATAATTGTGTATCTGCCATTTAAATAGATTATTATTAAAATACAAATTTTCTTTTCGTAGAACCCGGCGTCATTACCAACGTTGTCAGCGCTGGCTTCGACTTGCGCAAATTGGGTATTGCTCCTGAATTCGGCCTGATGATCAAGGATGAGGTGTCAGACCAGAGACTGCCACAGTACACCCTGGACCTGCACATCAACAAGGAAGACAAGAAATACCACATGCACGTCTACAACACTCCTGAATTCGGAAGTAAGTCCACATGTTGATCTAAGAATAAGTAAATGAAATTTCTTTGGACTCCTGGATCGCTTTAAAAAATTAAGTATTCAATAAAAATAATCTTTACTTCTCTTTTAGATGCCAAGTCTGGAATTACCATCCAGCTTCCTCAGCGTATCATGGCTTTGGAATCCGTGGTCAGCTACCCAACCAACAAGGGTCTGCCATTCCCCGTGCGTGGAGAGGTCAGCCTGGACTTGGACAAGAACAAGCAGGGTCACAAGACTAGCGCCAGATTCCTGGTTGACATGGACGTCACTAATGATAAGAAACAATCGGCCGTTGCTGAGTTTGGATTCAACCATCCTAAACTGAAGAAGGTTAGTCATTCATAAATTTTTCGTGACGTATTCCTAGAAACTTATACAGTAATCTGAATCATATGCAGATTCAGTTGTATTTCAATAGTGCCTGTATGTTGCAGTTTGATGACAGTTACCCACTAAAGGTTCTCCACTAGTTCATTGTTGGTTAAATATACGATTGTTAGTCAATAAATTAAAATAAAATAAACTAATTTACTTTTTACTAATCCAGGAAGCAGTAGTGAAGGTCCATGGATCCGTGCTTCATCCTCAACAGAACTCTATCAAGATTGAAACATCTGCCTCCATCTCACACCCAATTCTTGGCGCCGTAAGTTCACTACTACTATATGTATATTGGCTTGTACGTTTTTAACCCATCAGGGCATATACTAATAAAATATTTACTTCCAGGACCGCGAATCCAAACTGTTGTTAGAAGGATCACCAACTCACGTCAAGTTCTTGGTAAGTTTCCTGATACTATCAGCCGGGTCTTTTAAGAAAAATAATGTGGTTCAATTACAGTTCAGTTTATTTATGCAAATTTAACGCAATGTAAATCTTGCAGGTGAACACTCCTCTCGTTAAAGTAGTAGACCTGGAAGGAACAGCCACAGTCAACGAGAACTTGCAGAAGGGAGAGATGAAGGTCTGCCTGCTGGAAGGCAAACCTGTCCGCGTGATCGCCATGGCCAAGGACTACCAATACTTCGAGTTCACCACAGGTTATAGCGGTGATTATTTGCCAGTGTTTGGTGGTAGGCCGATCACCAAAGTATCCAGTCACAAGGGTCTTATCCTCTTTGATAATTCTCTGTGACTGGTTTTTGCTTTCTATTGCTTTTGATCATGAGGTTTTGAAACGAAACAACTATTGATGTCTTTTACAGAACTAAATAAACTGAAAGGTCTTTAAGAGTTTTTGAGAGTTTGGGTCGTTCTGGATTCTCTAGTCTTTTCGTCCAAAACCTTATGATTCCAATACTATTTCACCTGTTGAACCATCAGACTAATGATGTCTCCCCAACAGATGAGTCTGACCGCAAACTGTCGATCGTTGGTCACGTCCAACCCGAGAAGCGTGTGGATATCAGCGCTGACCTGATCCTTGGAGGAGAGAAGAAGAACATGGTACACGGTGCTCTGTTCCTGGATGACAGTCTCAACCTTAAGACCGACTACGGCATGTCCAAGGACAACTTCAACTACTTCTACGTAAGTATAAAAAGAGTAGAATATTGTCGACTTAAATATGTATAGTAGGTAAAAATATGCACACTTCTATTCAATAATAGAGATCCACATAACTTAACCAAACTTCATATTTCTCTTATACATGTAAAAATACTTTACGTAATCTTTTCCACCAGTCTGCACTTCGCAAGGATCTGGACAACTTGGAAGCTCGCATTAAGCAGCTGGGAGACAAGGCCAGTGAAGACTTCAAGGCCGTCCTGCAGCGCGCTGAACCGACCTTCAAACAGATTGAGAAGTCTTACAACGACGATCTGGCTAAATTCTACAAGGAAATCGCTGATGACAAGGTCCTGAAGGAGATCTCTGAGGCCTTGTAAGTATACTGCTCATAGTAACATCAGTTTAAAAAAAAACTCTATTTGGAAATAAGGATTTCTTCTTAATACAATCAATTCATACCACAGTTTAAAAGGATTTATAATAACTACGCATGTATTGACAAACGTTGTAAAATACCTATACTTATTTTTTACTTAATTTTTGTTATACAAGTCTCCTGTCTCTTTGCCACATAGACTAAGCAGTTTTCTTTGAATACATAGTTACATTAGTTCGCTCACTCGTACGAACAGAACTTAAAAACAATCGACTACAGTGTAGTTCCTCTCAAATAAATAATTAAATTACAGCCACGTGATCGTCCAGTACTTCGCTAAGATGTTGGATGAAGTGCTGAAGAGCACCAAGCCTTTGGTGGACAACATCCTCAACACCTACACCGAGGCTGCCAAGCAGATTAAGGAGATGTACGAGAAGAAGGTACGTTCAGTTCAAAATCAACTAAATTTACATAGAAAAAGAAATATGTTTCTTAACCCAATTAATCAATTATAACATATAATATGTTCCAGAAAAAATATAAACTACATAAATCTGGCTGGTACATGAAAGAAATTAATTTATCTTTCTTCTTCTGAGTAATTGCCACGTCATGCAACAATCATTTTTAATTCCAACTAAATTGCATAACTTATATTTTTTAAATTTTAGCCACAATTAAATCATATTTTCAAAATTCCAGTTCGAACCAGCCCTGAAGCAGTTCTACGCTACTTTGGCTAAATACTTCAAAGAATACCTGGACTCTCTCATCGAGGTTGTCGCCCGCTACTCCGCTCTCACTGCTGACTTCTACGAAAAGCACAAGCCAGAACTTGAGGAGCTCACCAACGCTCTCACCGCTATCTTCAAGGGTAAGTTGTCGTAAACCTGTAATGAGTACATTCCTTTATTGAGTGGGCATTAAAAAGGATTTCTTGTCTCATAAAATGTTCTCTTTAACCACATTCTTCTCCAAATCTTGTTTACTGAACCATGACTAATATTTCAGACTTGACTCGTCTCCTGGTCGCTCAGATCAAGGAATTCCGTGCCCGTGTCGTTGCCCTCACTACCGAGTTGAGCCAGTCCATCAAGGACATGCCCATCTTTGCCCTATTGAAGGAGAAGGTAAGAAGTGACCTTTAGAAACGTCCATAAACTTATGTAACTTAAACAGATTTTTTGAAAAAGAGTCGCCCTAATAACACTTTTTATTTTTTGTCTCAGTACCAAGAACTCGCTATCCCAGAGCAGGCACTGGCTCTCCTTGGAGACGCATATAACACGATCCGCGCACTCATCCCAACTCCTGAGATCAAGGACTTCACTGACGCCGTCCACTCTTACGTCACCAGGGTAAGTCTTCTAGTCATACTTTTATTAAACACAGCAGTTTATAATATTAAACGAATGAAACGAAGGACCTACATTACTATTTAATTCGCCATCGTCTTCTGAAGCAAATACTCTTAAATCTCGACTGATAATAATTATTTCTAATAAACCCCAATTGTCTTTTAGAAACTGAAACAAGAGAAAGTGGATGACCAGAAGGAACTCCGCATTATCTACCAGAAACTGTCCACCGCCGTCACATCCCTGATCCAATTCATCCGCGCTCAGCTTGGACAATTTGGCGTACCGTCCGGACCTCTTAGCTTCAACCCGGTTAGTATAGCCTACTTATCAAATTAACGTAAAATAACTATATATTCTTGTAACACATAATAGACATACAGTTTAAGGCATTAAGTCGGTATTTTTTACAAGGATGTGACTAATGTTCTTCTTCTTCATCCAGCTGTCCTTCTCTCCTGGCTCCGTGCAGTCTGCCCCGGCCCTAGGAAGCCCACCATCAGCCAGCCTCCTCAGCAAACTGCTGACAGGAGACGCACCTGATGTCCTCGCTTTGATCAAGTCCTACAGGCCTAAGAGCTTGAACCCTCTGGATGAGGTGCCCGCCAAACGTGAGTATAATTTTTATAAAAATGTAGCATAAATAAAAAAAACTTACCTACACATTTAAAATCGTGAACTTTCTGATTACCTAAATTTCTTACTTTATTTATTTTATGTTCGGCATAATTATTATCCTGATCTGACGATTTGTTCTGCAGTCCGTGCTGTTGTCGTCAACGGCCAACACATCTTCACATTCGATGGCCGCCACATGACCTTCCCTGGCAACTGCCGCTACGTACTCGCCCACGACCACGTCGACAGGAACTTCACTCTCATGATGCAGCTCGCCAACGGACAGCCCAAGTCTCTGATCTTAGAAGACAAGAGCGGCACCATTGTTGAACTTAAGGACAATGGACAGGTTCGTTTCTCAGAAACTATAGAGCAATATCAAGTATTTATTATAATAAACATTGCCATTTATCCTTTTGCGTTTTTTACATTACTTTAACATTGTATGGATCTCCAACAGGTTACCCTGAACGGTGCCAACCACGGCTTCCCAGTCATCGAGAAGGATTCGTTTGCTTTCCGTCAAGCAAACGGCCGTATCGGTCTCGGAACACTGTACGGCTTGATGGCCTTCTGTACCAACAAACTTGAGGTTTGTACTTCTTAACTTACTTTAAAAGCATCCGAGCACCATGTTTTTTTTTTATTTATTTTAAATTTAATACTTTTGTTACCTGTACAGGTTTGCTACATCGAAGTGAATGGCTTCTACCTCGGCAAATTGCGCGGTCTTCTCGGAGACGGTAACAACGAGCCCTACGACGACTTCCGTCTACCCAACGGCAAGGTATGTATCACTTACCAAGAAAAATATGATATGTCTTAAGAATTGCCACAAATAGAACATACCTATATCCTTAATCCTTTTACTAATCTCAATTTACTTCCAGATCTCCTCATCTGAGAGCGAATTCGGCAACGCATACCGCCTAGCCCGCAGCTGCCCACAAGTGCAGACCCCTGAACACAACCACCACCAGCTCCACCACATGGCCATGCCACCAGCATGCGAACAGGTCTTCGGAGGATCCTCACCACTCAGGCCACTCAGCCTCTTCCTGGACATTTCACCATTCAGACAAGCTTGCATCCACGCTTGCTCTGGCGAATCTAAGGAAGCTCTCCACCAAGCCTGTGACTTAGCTCGCGGTTACGCTGCCCTGGCCCTGACCAGCATGCTGCCTGCTGTCCTGCCCGATGTATGTGTACAGTGCAGAGATGCTGACAAGCCCAGAAATGTGGGAGAAAGCTACGAACTGAAGGTCCCCAACAAGCAAGCTGACATTGTTGTCGCATTCGAAACTACCAAGGTGAGTTCAACATTTTGCGACATTTTCAAAAATTCAATCAAAGACTGTTATTTTTTAGTACTGAAGACTTGTAATAAATCCATATATATGCCTATCAATCTTTAATAAATCTAATCCATCTTCTTTCTTCAGGATAACGAGAAGAACTACAAGGACATCGTAGTGCCCCTCGTTGGCCAGGTGCTGGAAGGTCTCAAGGCCAAACGTATCACAGACGTGAAGGTCTACCTCGTCGGCATCACACCCAAGTTCCCCTACCCCATCATCTACGACACTGACCGTGAGTTGAACTTGATTTTCTTGAGTTCAAAAAAGTTTATTAATACTTGGATAAAACGCATTGGTCAAATTTGTATTTTACTATTCAGAATTGCACAATATTTTATGATATAGCTTTTATTGGAATTGATAAAGTCATTTATTTGGACAGCAAAATTGCAGTAATTGTACTTATACATCAAATTTGTGGCAAATGCCTACACAAGTAATTAATTTAATTTTAATCTCCCCGCAGAGAGACTGAAGAACGCCAAGGTACACTTCGATGACAACAGCCGCTACCAGAGGTTGGCTGACAAGTTCAAGACCAAGGATGGCCACTACGATCGCTACATCAACGAGGTCGCTTCCATCATCGATGCTATCAGGATTGAATTCGGTAAGTTTCATATTTTTTTTTTGTGTTGATAGCCCATGTATCGAGGAAAACTATAGGCTAGCAAACTTCAAATTACGATCAAAAGAGTTTATATAATATCCATATTTAGCTATGTGTCCCAATGTCCAATAAGTTGGTAAGCCTATCACTACCCATTAAATACCAATTTTATTTGGTTTATGTGTTAAAGTCTTTCGAACGGAACTAATTTTATGTCGTTTATTCTTCAGGACTTACCAACGTTGTTGCTGGATACCAATCCATCTTCGACCTTCCGTTCCGTGCTGGTGCCGTCAAGCACACCATCAGCGTTGTCGGAGAGGAATGCATCAGCCAATTCTTCTTGGTAAGTTAGTTGCACCAAAACAGGCCATTGAGTGTTTTATCTTTTCATTTTGATTGTTTTATTGTATTCTGTGCCATTCTTACGTATATTTGTGTTCAGGTGGAAGTGGCCCGCTCCATCGCTTACAGCGTTGCCTTCGAGAACATGGCGTACTCTCACTCTATCATCACCGTCACTCCCTCCGGATCAATGAAGGTCAACGGCAAGAACCCCGCACAGATTGTCGGTAAGTACACATAGAATGTTTAGTTATTGAATTAACCATACTATTTTTGTAATACCGTGATTAACGTAACTAGACAGAAAAATACATTATCAATAAAATATAACATTTAACCTGATAAAAATATGTCAGAAAATTAATCGCCCTATTAAGTGGCCGCTAACGCTAAACGAATAATTTCTCTTCAGGCTACACCGAACGCGCTGTGATCATGCTAGGAGACAAAAAGGTCGGTAAAGATGCTGAGAACCTCAGGAGCACACTCACAAAGACACCAGATGCCTGCAGGGACTTCGTTGAATCGGTGAGTTTATTACCAAAGTCTGATATTCCAACCCTTTGACACTGAGCTGGACCTTTAATTAAGGTGCAGTTCCATTAAGGCGTAGCGGAGAAGAGCTGTGCCGCGATTCACCAATCACATGGCTTGAAATCCACATCGGAGAAGAGCGATGGAAGAATGGAACTGCACCCATACTCGGTTTTAAAACATCTTACCCAGAAACCTATAAACTTCAAACTCTAATTCTAAATTCTTCCCAACAGACTGACGGCATCGTGTTCTCTGCCACGAACTTCCACTCCATGAACCCTGGACAGCAGAAGCAGTTCATCTCGACTGCAGCTGCAGCCATCAACCAGCGACTGCTGCACGAAAGTGTCGTGCAGGACTGCACCTGCGTGTACGCTGATCCATTCAGGGTACGCTCTGTGTGTGTCTCCAAGGACAGGAAGGAAGTGGTAAGCATCAGAAATGTTTTGTAGTAGATATGATGTAATCTTAAGTTTTGGGAGGGAGGGGGTTAAGATCGCTGGAGTTGGTGTCGATTATGCTGATAAGAGATGAGCTCTGGTAAAATGATATTCTTTGGTTGACAAAATGAATCTAAAAGCATAATTTTCTAAACTGGGGCTGCGGGTAAAGCGCAAAAAGGTACTGTAGCCTCGGCCTGGAGAAAGAGAGGAAACGGAGGGAGGGGTTTGATAGTATGAGTCTAATTAATACTCCCTCTCGCCATACCCTAGGCGTGAGAACTCATTCGAGAATATTCTCTTCTCAAAAAAACGTCAGACATTTTATCACAAATGGTACTTAACACATTTTTTCTAATCTATCAATTCTTTGTCCCCAGGCTCGCAGACGGAAGTAATCTGCGCCCGAAACTGTGATCCAATCGTTCCAAGTACCAAATACTCTAGCATTATGTAGCCAAGTGGGAGCGAGATGCACATACAGAGATGTATATGCGTCTCACTCGCACATACTCATCAAAAAATCTTTTACAGAAATATAAAGCAGTGTAGTGTTCCATGCAATATTTAACTTTATTATTAGTTATAGAGAAAAACAATGGATTGATTATAGTTTCCGATATTGTTCTATATTTTTGTAAAAGATACTTTTTCATTGAAATTGTCGTGTAAAAATCAGTTTTGTATTTATATAAATAATATTGCCGCGGACCATCTTGAGGTATTAATTGATCATGATCGACTCTGTATTAGATGTAATAAAATATGTTATTTAAATCATTAATTGTTGTTTTGTTTTCTTTTCCTTTATCTTTTCAAATATGATGACGATGATGACTAGTAGGTACCTAAGTAGAAAACCATAACACCTTTTGGTACCAAAATAGAAAACAAATTAATTCGAATTTTCAATGCAATAAAATATTTAAAACTATAACACATTCATTCATTGACTTGATTCGTTTTTAAGATAGAAGTTTGCTCTCTGATGCAAAAGAACATAACATCACAACACCCATCCCTTTTCCCAATAATATAAACCGATTGATTTTGATAAAAGTTTTTTTTAAGAAATAGAAAACGCGACGATTTTAATAACTGAACATCGTTCATACTAAGGATGAAATGGTAATAAAAAATTAAAAACACTTTTAAAATGAAGCGTTTAATTAAATGCGCTAGACAATAGAAAAATACACTTTGGAGTAAAATCTAACCTATGTAGAATTTCATACAATGACATTGTCACATTAAATCGAAAATGTCACAATTATTGTGGCACACACATCATAATATGCATGACATTGTCACAATTTTGTATATTAATATAACGATGTGTTATTACTAGGGTGGTCAGTAGACAGTCTTACGGACCCACTTCATGCGAGGGCCGCGTTGTGACATTATCTTCACTGAAGCACTCGCTGCGCCTTTCACTACATCTTGTATCTAAAACAATATTTGAAATTATGTAGCTTTCATTCTTAGTCACATGGTTTTCAATTTTATCGGCGTGCTTATTTTTCTAAGTGATTTCAGTAATTCAACTACTGCAATTATTTTCTAAATTCTTTGAAGATTTGAAAGAAATGTGTAAGCAGTTACATAAACAACATTCGACTTTCAAAAACGGCACACCGATGCACACATGAATAAATCGTATGATACACGTTAAAGTGGGATGGCATGATTCAATAATTGCGAGTGAAAAAGAGACAAATATGAAAAAGTGTGACTAGTTAGCCACATTTTAATGTATCACTTGCTGAGCGCTTGTAACCTATCTACCCCCCTGTTACTCATAATATCATTGTTTGTAAGTCCTTCCCTGTTTTCTTTTTGATCTTTAGAACTATGGTCACCTGTATGTTCATTATTATTATTAAACATTTCTCAGATGACCTAATATAGGTTTCAGAGGGCTACTCCCTGATGCTGATTTCTGTATCAAACCTCACCCAGAGCAGTCAATGATTTTCCCCTTCATAAAATGGGGGCTTTGCTCAGCCGTAGACGTCTTGTGGACGTGTTGTGATGATGGTACGTTATTTAAGTTCAAATAAACCATACTTACACTTAACATGAGACTCTGAGCGTTGCCCACAAGCATGTCCATCGCTTCCTTATCTTCTTGAGTACCTTAAAATACAAAAAATATTATGACTATAGAGGAAAAATAAAATACTAAGATATAATTTCTAACTATTTCTTGTCAAAATTATAGACAAAAACAAGATTTTAGTGAAAATCGTTTCTTTATTAAAATCTCGAAAATTTTCGGTTGAGCTTACCGGAGACCCAATCCTTTTTTCCCCTCGACGAATGCCTAAATCTCCGAAACCCAAGTCAAAGACGGCAACGCACTGATTACCATCAGGATAACTGTTCATTTGTCACTTATTAAGATAATAAACATGATCTTCTAAAAAAAATATCGACACTTCACACTATAATTTAAGAAATATGGTAATAATGTCTAAGTACCGTGTCTTCCGAGTGAGAATCCTTTGACAGTAGTCAACATCTTGAGCTGGCCGCTGATGGTAGGGATCCTCTCGCAGGTTTGCAGCAAGTTCTAGAACAATATCAACATACATACAACACAATGCTACCAATATGTTAAAACTTAAAAAAATATAGCCTGTTCCCAAGCTGACAGAGATAGAGCTATACTCGTAACGAATACTGGCGTAATCATGCCATCTCGTTTGCTCACAAGCATTTTGTACCTATACATTGTACATTAGGAAAAATAGACTTGGTTTAATACAAAATATTTTCAAGAAACATTATTAAAAGCCGGAAGACGTCCATTGCTGGACAAAGGCCTCCCCCTTAGAGTCCACGTTGGCCGACAAGTTGCCATCTGTATCCATTGGCTCCCCGCGACTCTGACGATGTCATCGATCCACCTAAAGGGAGGCTTGCCCAAGCTACGTTTTCTCGAAACAATTCAAGGCATTTTTGACCCTTTGCTAATACATTGTATACATGATCAGAAGTCTCTATTTTTTGTAACCAAGCAGGCCTTGTAAAAGGTTTATTATTATAGTAATGAATACTTTATTATGCTAACCGTCTTGATCCTATGGTCGGTACACTCGTGCGCAAGTTTCTTGGCAAGTCGCGCCACCTCGTGGGATTCCGACACAATCGATTTTGAAGTCACCAACACTTCGCGTTGCTTATCTGAAAGAAGGATTTTAAGATATCAAAATGTGTCACTCTTAAATTTAAGCGATTAAACTTCCAGAGACAGAAATAGATGAAAATTGTTGTGAGTGTAAGAAGCAATGGAGATAAATGTTCACGACCCTTAGCAATGACGAATACGTCAGGAGATGACTTTAGCCGTTTTTTGAGGGGGGAAATCAATAAATGGGCTCTCCATACTGGCTTAGTCAAGAGGGAGAGCCAGACTATAACTAACTAAACACCAGCCCGTTCCATATCCTATTCCGGGCCGAGCCGCGGCTCGGATAATTGCGCTAGATCCGCAACTCCGGCTGAAAATGTACTCTATTTGGCCCGATCTGAGATCATCAAATGACTTCTCCCGCCCGGGTAAGGCCAGGGAGAGTGCGAGACAGACTCTTACTGACTTAAAACTCCCTTGTTCCTACTCCTGCTCCGAGCCAAGGCCGCGGTGTCTCTTTGCGCTTGCCCTGCAACCTCGGCTGAAGCCTTTAACCTTTAACTTTCACTAAGAAAGCCGAAAAAATTCTATAGCCATAAAAAAATTCATCTTCCTCATCTGCCAATAAGTGCCCAGTGTACTTTTGAGCAAAGACCACTTCTCAGATAGAGGAGGTTTAATTTAAACCACATGATGCATGAGAAGCAGGCGCATTAACCTTCGTACCTACCATAGGTACAAAAATATGACTATTAAAGTGTAAAATAGGTTCAACGGCGGTTCACTTCTCTTTATCTGATACCCAAAATGTTTCTGGTCTTAAAGTGCATTTGAATTTGTATGTTTATAAACGCACTTACTAAACGTGAGATAATTCAAGATTTAAAAAACAGAAAGAAAAAAGTTCTCCAGCAGCCGTCAAACGAAGTAGTATTACTTACCATTATTCATGAAGTTGGAGAGTTTCGCCATGAGTACTGCCATCCGCTTGGCGACAGCCACGATCTCGTTGTCACGTGACGACCAGTCGCGGATAGCCACGTGCAGGTTCATCGCCTCGTTCTAGCAAAAACGGATATTACTATTATTAAAATTCAACTAAAAATTTAAAACCTTTGTGGGAAAGCAAAGCTTGGGCACAAATGGGTCGGCTCGACCGGAGTGATCCCACAGTCTTACAGGAAACCGGCATGAAACAACCACAGCGTTGATTTTGGCCATGTGAGTGAAGTTACCGGAGGCCAAGTACTCCTCATCCTATCCCTTCCCAATCCTTAAATATCCGAAACTCTTATCCCCAAAAGGCCGGCAACACACTCGTAGCTTCTTTGGTGTTGTGATTGTCTATGGGCGACGCCAATTGCTTATCATCAGGTAATCAGATGGCTCGTTTGCCTATCACATGCACACTTAAATTAGATAAATTAGGAACGTTTTATAAAAAAAAAGTGGATGTTATCGTGTCTACTCAAGTCTTTAAGCCCTTGTTATGGCTTGTAACTAGTCGAGCGTCCTTTTCAAATTATTTACTTAAGATGACCGTATCGTCAATTTCATTTTTGGACAAATTACATGGCCTTATGGGCCGTATAGGGCTAATGAATACTTACAAAGATGGGTTGGTCCTGAGCTGGCTGTTGTTTAAATATTGTTTCTCCACACAGTAATGACTCCACTTCCTCTGTAGCTTGCAGAATCTGTCGAGATTGAATTCAAGTATTGCTAAATATTTTTTAGAATTATAATGTTGCTATTGATATTTTTTTTAAAAGATTAGTAGATTTGATCCAGTTCTTCTTCACAGACTACTATGAGGAATTCTTATTAAGATCCAGATTTCTTTTGTAATGTGATGCATGACATCATACCATCAACTTATAAACAGCACTGTTGAGCAAAGGCTTTTGCTCTCGAGTCTCACAAGGAGAAGGTTTGAGCATTAATCACCATAATTGCTCAAGGCAGATTGGCTATTTTGAACAATTAGAATAAAATTAGAAATTACTAGCTACTCTCGCGCAGTTCACCCACTCCTCGGCTCCATTTTATCGTAGCGTGATGTTTTATAGCCTATAGCACTCAGGAACATTGTAGCTATCTATCAGTGAAAGAACGGGCTTCCACGAGAACATATTAAAAGAGATTTAATCATCATTATCCAGGCACATCATCATCATCATCATCATCATCATCTTGGATTATTTGTACTGGGTTAAAGGCACTAAAAGAGATTTTTTCACAATGTTAAGCCAAGATATTAAAGACTAATGTTGCCTAGGTAAAGCATGAGGCCTGTGACCTTGGTCTTGTAGGAGAAGACTTACCCTAGCCGTGGTGTCGTTGAAGTCAGGCAGGCGTGATGCGCGTGCGCCGGGCGCGGGCGCGGCGGCCGCCAGCTGCTGCTGCGCCGCGCCCAGCGCACGCTGCAGCTCGGGGTCACGCCGCGCCGTGCTCGACGACAGGCCCACGTGGATCACGCGGTTCGCCAGTCTAGATATAACATGCATCATTTTAAAAAAACCACTTCAACTTCTGTAACTTTACAATTTAAGAAGACGTGAGGGAATTCTCCTCTCTACATGGCCAGTCCACAAATCGCTCAATCCTTAAATCCAAAACGTCTAGCAACGAACTTGCAACTTCTGTAGTGTTGCATGTGTCCAAGGACAGCGCCGATTGCTTATCATCAAGTGGTCCTTCCGGCCCTGTGTAGTTGGCACCCCTGCGCATCTTGGCGCCCATCCACAATCTGGCATCCTGGTTCCTTAGCACCCCTACGAAACCTGGAACCTTGGATCCTAGGCGCCGTCCGCAAACTAGCGCTCTGGGTCCTTGGCGCCCTCCGCAAACTGGCATTCTGGGCCCTTGGCGCCCTCCGCAAACTGGCGCCCATCCCCAATCTGGCGCCCTGGGTTCTTGGAGCACCTACGCGACCTGGCTCCCTAGGCATATGCCTAGTTTGCCTTAATGCTAGATTATAAGTGAATAAATAGCAGTGTATATAAATATCTGACTTGGTGATGGCGGCTGACTTGTGTGCGTTGTGCTGCGGGTCGTTGTGTGTGGACTCCTCGCGCATGCGCTCTATCGTCTCACCTGCAAGTTTCAACTCTTATAGTATAATCTTACATTTATGTTAAGTAGTTAGAAATATCTAGGTACCTATATGACAAAATGTTAGGTTTAAATACAATAAACGAATTGCTTAACTGCTTAGAGTTATATGTTCAGCCGGGGTTGTGGGGCAAGCTCAATAAGTCACCGCGGTTTCCGCCTAAACCAAGAGAAAGAATGAGGGTCATTAAAAGTCTGACACTCCCTAACGCCCCTCCCTAGGTGGGAGAAGTAATTTGATGATTTACCTCCCACACAAAACAAAGACCGCTTATATGTTAAAAAACCTTAATTCCGGCTCCTTACTAGTAGTACATTATGTTTCTTTAATTATTTTTTGAAGAACGGGCAAAAAACTCCAATGTTGTTTTTTTTAAACATATATGTTTTTTTTTATAAGTTATCCAGTTCATTATTTAATACGTATCATTGTACTCATATGTGAGGGCAGTACAGAGAATAACGAGCCTAAAAACTTAACTGTCGAGCAAAAAAACGAATGATTGATGAAGATATTTACCAGCCGTCTGCACGAACTCCATAGGGTCAACCGACTGGTCGCACAGGTCTCGAATCTTGGACATGGACTCCGCATATTTGGCGAGCAGCGATTTATAATTCTCTATTACGGCCTGAGGAAAACAAACTACTATTAAAATGAGGATAAATATGAAATCTGCTGCAAATGTTCTTTTCTACAATAATCTACACTACAGGTGTGGGAGAGCCATACTTCGGCATGAATGGGTGCCACGGCCTCACAGAAAATCGGCGTGAAACACTGCGTTGCGTTTCACTGTGTGAGTGAGGTTACCGGAGGCCTAATCCCAACCTGCCCCAATCCCTTAATGCCCTAAACCCTAATCCCCAATAGATTGGTAACGCAGTCGTAACTCGTTCGTTGTTGATTGCTTACTATCAGGAAACCCATTCGCCTTAGCTCGTATCCTATCACATAAAAATAACAATTATTTACTTTGATTCGTTTTAAGAGAACAATCATAAAATAATAGTTACAATCATTGAAATACTAACTTTTAAACTTTCGCGTTTCATATTAATAACATATATTTACGCGGGTATTAACGCGGAAAATTATTATTTAACTTGGTAGGTTTGACGTTTCGACCCGGTTGCATAGGTCGTGGTCACAAGCAGACTGCTTGTTAATCATTGCTTATTATTCATTGATTGCTTGCTTATAAATCATTGAAATAACTCCGACTACTAACATGTTTGTATGTCATATCACTTTACTTACCTTGTCGTCAGGACGCTCAATCCTTTCCTGTGCCGCTTTCACAAGCATTGGAGCCAGCAACTCGGTCTAAAATAATAATAAATAAAGTCAATTTACAAAATTTCTACTGAACCTCTATTTATATATAGGGGAGCCAAGGATGCTAAACTTACTCACTTGAGCATGTTAGGTGCGAATTGAAGATTTGGTGACAGAAAGAAAAAATGGTTTAATTTTACTGCACAGTTAGCGAAGTGGCTGGGCAACTGGCTGCCGCGCAACGTGTCGTGGGTTCGATTCCCGCACGGAACAACTCTTTGTGTGATCCATAGATTGTTGTTCCGGGTTTGGATATGATGTGTATGTGAAATTGTATGTTTGTGAACGCACCCACGACACAGGAGAAAATCCTGATTGATATTTCCCTTTTTCCGGTGATGGAAGGGGGAATCCATAGTTCTTCAAAATATTTAAGCGTAACTTTTGTTTCAAGGCTTTAAGATGACAGTTATTGATAGTGTAAACGCTACATGTAAGAAAACATTTTTCATTTCTCATTGTCTTCCAGCAGAAGTTATAAGCCGTACAAAAAGCAAAAATAAGCACTCTCTAATAAAACCACAATATTTTAACTGCAATCTGCGACTTGGCGAGGTCTTGCCAAGCAGTTTAGAAGCTTATGAAGAAATGCAAACTCCTTACATGCATCAGGCCTTCAAATTAGCCCCTCCGCTGGAGTCATAACATGGGCTCACAAAAAACCGGAGTGAAAAACTCTTCCATTAAATTTCGCAGTGTGAGTGAGATTACCGGAGACCTAAAACCTATTCCCTCATCCCCAATTATCCTTACCTTCCAATTCCTCACTCACAAAAAAGGTAGCAACGCCCTGGCTGATAATCTTACTTTGGCTGGCTGGCTGATATGCTTGCCATCAAGTTATTTGTCAGTTGGTTTGCAGCCATAAACCATAAAAAATGTGAAGAGGACTATTAAAAGTAGATTGGCATTATTGATGTGGTACCTGTTGACTGCAGGCGTTGATGTCATCAGCGCGGTGTGCATGTGTGTGTGCGACGAGGCGCGCAGTACTGGTCACCCTGCCGAGCTGTGCCAGTAGTTCTGCTATCTTCTTCTCCAGCATGAACTTGCGTTTGGACTCGTCTGGGTTACGGATTATAGAGTTAGCACACATGGTTTGCAAAGAATGAAAAATCTATGTTGCAATGGAATCGAAATTATGCGGAACAAAATTTGTTGGCATGAATGAAACAGCGTTTATATCGCCGTGTGCTTGAGGTAACCGGAGGCCTAATCCCGCCCCTTTACCTATCCCTTTCCAATGCTTAAATATCCGCAACTCTTATTCCCAAATGGTCGGTAACGCACTCATAACTTCTTTTGTGGTGCGGCTGTCCATGGGCGGCGCCGATTGCTTACCGTAATCCGTCATGTCATAAAAAAATCTTGTGAGTGCGTAACAGACTCTAGCAATCAGCTCATGAAATAGTCATTTTTTTTACATTGCCCCACTCTAGGATTTTCTCCGAAGTCGTGGGTGCGTAAACAGCTATACAATTTCACTTACACATTACACCACGGCCACGGAACAACAACTCGTGGATGACACAAGGAGTTGTTCCGTGTGGGAATCGAACCCGCGATACGATGCGCCGCATCCAGTTGCCCAGCCACTGTGCCAACCGTGCAGTCATTGTGGTGGCGTTTGTAGGCGCAGATGTATAATTTTTTGGACACCATTATCCATTATCATGATGGAATCATTACAATTATTTTGACATTGTCAACTAACCTTTTTCATAATCAACAATGAGGTCAAGGTCAGCGAGTGGTTCCTCAGCCTGCATAAAGTCTTGCACCAGCTTGGAGACAACTCCTCGCGACACCCCCTTCTTTAGCTCGCGGACACGCTCCAACAACACACTGGCAATCAGTCATAAACATGCTTATCCGTATTAAGTGTGGGAGAGCCATGCTTTGGCACGAATGGGTCGGCCCGACCGGAGTGATACCACGGCTCCACAGAAAACCGGTGTGAAACAACCACGGCGTTGTGTTTCGCCGTGTGACTGAGGTTACCGGAGGCCCAATCCTTCCCCTCCCCCGATCCCTCCCCAATCCCTAAATCTCCAAAACCCTAATCCCTAAAAGGTCGGCAACGCAATCGTAACTCCTCTGTTGCGGGTGTCCATGAGCGGCGCTGATTGCTTACCATAGGGTAATCCGTCTGATCGTTTGCCGACCTATTACATAAATAAAAAAAATAATTTAGTGGAAAATCTCCAAAAGGCGCTTTAGTAAGGAGAAAGATAAGGGGTTGTGGAATTCTCAAATTAGAAAATCTACTCCAGTGACCACCGCCGGAAAGCACATCAAGTTGTTTTGTATTTTTAACGGTTTGTTATGTGATAGGACGGCAAACGCGCGTACAGATTACCTGATGGTAAGCAATCAGCGCCACCCGTGAAAATCCGCAATAACGGAAGAGTTCCGACTACCGTGCTGTCTTTTTGAGGATTAGGGTTTAGGAGTTGGGGAGCGATTGGGTGAGAGGACAGTAGTGAGTCAAAAAATGGCACATATTTGACATTATGCTCAAGTACCGCTTCCAAAGAATACACTAGATTGAAAATAAACTTATCATTTAATTTGGCACATGGCTAAACTAAATTCATTTATGTTCATCTAAACTTTTGGACATTACAAGACTTAATGAGGTGCCGTTTTCTATCAGAAACCACAAAAAAACTTTTTGTCCGTAAACTAAAACTAATATTCTTGGAGTAAATTGGTATGAACCCCAATTGCTATGCCCCCCTACCTGTACTGCTCCTGGTCGTATTTCTGGCTGCAATCCTTCAACAGTTGTTCAGTTTCCATTAGCAGATTCCTCATGTCTTCTTTGTCAGAGCCTGGCAGATCCTCTGCCACCTATAAAATTGGATAACCATATACAATTTGGAATCAGGAGTCACTTCACTCTGCAACTTTTTCGATGGTTGTCTTAAAAGCTGACGACATTTGACAGAAACAAACCTAAAGCCCTCTCTTATAGAAAATTTCCAGAGTTCAGTTGTCGACTGTAATGGGTGGTTGACGTACTTATAGCAAATTTAACTTGGCTGATCCACATAATCAGCCTCTTAGTGACTACTGCTTAGCAAAGGCCTCGTCCCATACGGAGACTGCTGAAGCATTAATTTTAACGCTTGATCAAAACGGATTGGCGATGTTAAACTTACTCGTATTCGAAATTAAGTCCATTATTTTTCGATATTTGACTTCACTGTAATGTACTGTGATTTCAAAAGTTATTTACTTTTCAAATTACTCCGAAAAAGTCATATTGGTACTTTTAATACACTATTTGAGAGGCGTGGCCGCAAACTCCAGGCTACCATATCAATCGCTGCCTAGGCTTATTGTTTTGTTTTAAATATCAGCGCATCTTACCTTATTAGCGACTTCCATGAGGTTTCGAACTGCCTCCTGTCCCTTCGTCTTGACATCCGGCTTGCACATTGGCTTCGAAAGCCATTTGGATGCTAAGTCGAATCTGTCAAATAACAATACATGATATAGCCCTCGTCTCAAAATTCAAATATTTTGGATTTGTGATGAACCAAATGTGGTGTGATGGCGGAATAAGAATAGAGTACATTTTGAGATACCTCCTCATTCGTCAAATAACTGAGATAGGCTCAACTAGTTTCGAATCATAACGGGACTCTTATTAATGGACAGCGTGTGCATCGCGGCGACGTCGTGCAGTTGACTGAATAAGAGTCCCGTTGTAACATGAAACTAGTCGAGCGTTTCTCAGTTAATTCACGAAAGGAATTCGTTATTTTTAATAGATAACGGACAGGAAAGCTTTCTCGTAAACCTCCTCCTCCTTCCTTTCCTGATGATTTCCTGATGTCTCCTTATATAAAAGAGCTGATGACTATTATGATAATCATAAAAATAGAACAAAATCAATAAAATTTTTGTTTTTGGCAACTGCAACTTACGTTATGCAATTAAATTTTATGAATGACTAGCTTTTGTACGCGACTTCGTTCGCGTGGAATAGTGACATCCTGCAGATTTTTGGTATAAAAACCTATAATTATCCTATGTCCTTTCTTGAGTTCCAAACTGTGTCTGTATGTACCAAATTTCACAGAAATCGGTTCAGTAGTTTAGGCGTGACAGACAGACAGAGCGAGTTACTTTCGAATTTATAATATTAATTAGTATAGAAGTATATATTTAACGAAATGTTGTTAAAGTATACATAAACAGGTAATATTATTATTATAATGGACTAGAAAACTTAATGTTACTTACTGTATTTCAACATAGCTCTTTTTCTCTTCCTGTAAATAAAAACATTGATTTAACTTCTCATACTTCTTAAACACAGGCGTGTGAAGAACAATGTTTCGGCACAAATGAGCCGGCTCAACCGGAGTGATACCACGGACTTACAGAAAACTGATGTGAAAGAACCACAGCGTTGTGTTTCGCAGTGTGAGTGAGGTTATCGGAGGCCCAATCATTACCCCTCATCCTATCCCTTCCCAATCCTTAAATATCCGAAACCCTTATCCCCAAAAGGCTGGCAACGCACTCGTGACTCCTTTGGTGTTGCGGGTATCGGCGATTGCTTACCATCAAGTAATCCGTCGGCTCGTTTGCCAACCTATCATATAAAAAAACGTATTACAAGGCACACTTAGATTCTATAAATTAGAAACGCATGTTTTTAAGCACTTTTTGTGTTGTGGTTGTCCTTGGGCGGCACCATTTGCGCCAACTAGATTCTAGGTTCTTTAACTAGGTTAGGCACTTGTGTCATCAGGTTATCTGCCAACTAGTTTGCTGGTCTATTACATATAAAAAAGACAAATCATAATATAGTGGTTAACTTACCTCTGGTTCTTCGACAGCAGCTTCCAGAAGATTTACGCGTTGTCCACTAGTCCTGGAAACAATTTAAAATTGTCACTTAAATACTTACGTTTATATTGTTGGAAATAACAAAAACAGCAATGTTTCTTTCTTTTTAAAAATACCATTAAATTCCGAATAATATTATATTTTCTAATATCATTCTTTTTGTGGGTAGTAAGGTATATTTCCATTTTCTCTTTTACCCTCTTAGACATGCTAAAAAAGGCCATTTTAGTTAGATCAGCACAGTGGTTGATCAACCGGCTGCTGTGCAAATCATTAGTAGGAATGCCTAAGTGATTTTTTTAAATTAAAGTTTGTTCCACACTGGGAATTTCTCCTGTGTCTTGGGTGCGTTTACAAACATTCAAATTCACATACACAAGTCAACCAGACCCGAAACAACAATTAGTGGATCACACAAAGTGTTTTCTTGCGGGAATCAGCCACTGTGCCAACCGTGCAGTCAAAGTTCCATGACACAGGTGAAAATCCTAATGCAGGCCTGTTATTTCTCAAGAAAAACAACATGCGAATGGGATCCTTACTTGACACTCCTAAGAAGGTTCTCGAAGGCGTCCAGTACATCCTTTCTCTTGTTAAACATCACCCATTTCATGGTCTCCGGCTCCTCGGGGGCCGCTTTCACTTGTTTCACCAGGTCTTCCGTATTTGACAGGAGCGTACTAAGAAATAAAAGTAAAATATTACACAATAACTCGACTACATCGGAACCAAATAACAGGCTGATTTCTTTTGGAAGGGTAAATCTTCAAATGATTTCTCTCGCCCAGGGTAAGAGGGAGTGTCAGACTCTTACTGACTAAAAACCATACCCAGTTCCATCTCCTGCTTTGGGCCGAGACTGCAGTACCTTACTGTGTTTGCCCTGGAACTCCGGAGTGATGAATTCATCATTCCATCTTTTTTAATTGAATTGATCGGTCTGTTGCTTTTGACTAACTTCAATTAAAAGATTAAGTATAAGATATTGTCTTTGATAACCAAGATCAAAGTTTTTATTAGGATTAACAAAATCAAGGTTCTTCTGTTCCGATGATTGGGTAAAAAGACACGAAAAGTCAATTGATTGAATGGACCCGGTTATAGTTTTACAGTTTAACTCGTAAGAAGTAATAAGGACCATTTTTATACTTGTGTACGTTCATACGCAGCCTTCGGAAGGAACAGGGTGGTATTTTTTTTATTATTTATTAGGGACAATAAACATCCACAATATATACCTAGTGCTTATTAAATAAATAATAAATATGCCAGTAATAACAATATTGAAACCCATCACTGCATTATCCACATTTTAACAAAAATTAAAATATTATAATAAGTACCACTAAACAAGCATAATAATTCAATAAATAATTACATTACTAAATTTTTAAACAATTTTGAAATTAGTACCTAGTTAAAATTTTATAATACAACACAACAATTAAGACATAATCATAAATCAACTTAATTCAAATCAATAATAATTCAATAATTCATAACAATAAAAACAAATCATACATCAGTTCAATTCAATAATAATTAAACAATTCATAATAGTAAAAAACAGATCATACATCAGTTACATTGAATAATAATCCAACAATACATAATAATAAAATCAAAATCATATATCAAATTCAATTCAATAATAATCCAAAATTTCATAATAATAATAAAAACAATGATGTCCCATCACATTTAGATTAAAACTGTTCAACGGGCCTCTGCGAGTTTGCTTCGGCTCCTCGTACGCCTTCCAAAGGTCCGGGACCCTGTGGTCCCGTGAAAGGAAAGAACATAAAAACAACATAGTTTTCATCCACTAGTGCATAGCAACCCATACCCATAACCCTATCAATTGTCGTATTTAGTCGGTAACACTTCCTCTCGCTCCACCCAGGGCGAGACCAATAATTCGATGATTTGAAAGTTGCATGGAAGCTCTCACTCACAACCTACAGTTCATAAACAGAGAAAAACACTCATCAATAATATAACACTGATATCAGTCAAATATACTCACAGTGAGTTCTTGACAATCTCATCGACATGTTTCTGGGTATCAGCAGAGATGTTGGTGGCGACGGGCACCAGGTCCGGGTGTTCCAGCAAGGAGGATACATTGCTCACATCGTGCATCAAATCCGCTACCCTTGATATTAATTTGTCCTGTAACAATACCGCGATTATTAAGTTCTGGTAGTACGGATACTATTGCCCAATAGAAAATTTAGTATTTAGTTATTATTTTTAAACATATTTTTTTTTTCTTTTTTTGGACTCGATGGACTTTTGATTTTCGTAACTTAATATTATCCCTAATTCTTAAACATTTGTTTAAATAATACAACAACAGTCACACTTAAAGTCAATTACCTGTAAATTATTCTTTCTATGCATCATAAATATTAAGATGCCACAACACTCTATCCTGTTGTATTTTAGATTCCCATTTTTTAAATAAATAATTTCCTATCCTATGTAATTTTAGGTGTCATTAATATTAATTTGACGTCACAACAAAACGTCTTACATAGAGGTAGGTAAGGCACCTACAGAACTATAAATCAGAATCTGTCAAAAAAAAATTGTTCTTTTTGATTAGATAAATTAAAAATAGAATGCCTATTGCATTCACTGTTTTCGCTGGTTATAAATAAAAATAGATACATTATCTCTAGAACATAGAAAAGAAAATCATACCTTGTTTCCTAGGTCTTGCTCATTGTCCAGCCTTTGGTGAGAGTCCAGCAAGTCCTTAGTGCATTCTTTCAGCATATTTTTGAGCTCTCCTTCCTTGGTCTTCTCAATGGCGTCTCTCATGCTGCCCTCCAGATCCTTTACTTGGCTTTTAAGAACCTTCTTCTCTTCAGCGATCTGGAATAAATTATAATGATTTAGCTTATTTGAGTAACCGATAAGACAGTGTCTACTTGTCTATTATTTTTGTTTATTTATGATTATTTAACAAAATAAAGTATTTTATGAGCTAATCCCCAAAAAACCGTTGCAAAGATTTGACTGTGAGGTTGGTGAGACGTCAGTTAAAATAACATTTATTTTATTTATTTATTTAAGGCACATCAACAACACAAACACAAATCATGGTTATCTTACATTTTATAGGTCTTATTTTAGTGTAAGTGTCAATAATGTGCACAACATTCGCATAAAAATGAAAACTTACGTTATGAAAAATTTCTTAATTTACGAAATGAAAACAAAATACAATAAGAATCAACTAAATATAGGATGTCAAAAAAAATATGTAGACGCTTTATATATTTCGTAATAGTCACAGCCATGTGGCCTACGGTGGAGCACACCTACTCACAAGCACCCTATTCACTAGGGCTTTCGAAGAACACAGACTCTGACAAAGAATTCCACTCCTTAGCGGTTCGGATGATAAAACTTGAGGCGAACTGCTTTGTGCGTGTGGGTGGGACATCCAATCCACCATAAAGCGATGACGTTTTGCCGATTGTCTGGTGGATTGGACTAGGGGGATTAAAGTGTGCAAATAATATAATAATTTTGGTCTCTCTATGTATTTTATTTACTAAGTATGTCTTTCGGTCTTTTTTTAATAAGATTCTAACCTGTATATCATCATTAGTAGTGATGATAGAGATGCAGGTATCTTCGACCGCGTGGACAGCGTTGTGTAACTTGCCAACGTCTACTGGGCCGTTCAGACCAATAGACTTATCTTGGTCTGATACTGATATCTGTGAATAGAAAAGCAAGGGATTATGATACTTATGGTAGTTTTGGGGTTTTAATTTACAAATCACCAGGAATTGTGTATTTCTATATAATTTGGCATTAATCTTTGTTTTAAACGGCTTAATTCTACACCAGCGCCACTAATTGTGAATTAAAGTCAATATCAATTCATTTAATAAAAAAAAATAGACCACCATAGACAATTTTGGAGGTCAAATAAAAAAAAATAAAAATTTTAACTTTGTGTGTGCCAATCTTCCTAAAGCACAATAAAGTACGCAAAAAAATATCAAAATCATTAACGAGACAAAATATGGATATTCTTTTTGTCGAAAATTTGTACCCTATTGAAATTTTATTATTTTTTCAAAATTCAATGGGCACCATGTCTACATTGTTGTAGGGATATCATTGGACATGTGGTCATTTTCATACAATTAAGACTGATACATAAAATCCAATTACCGTTTTGGAGTTATCTTTCAAAAATTCGCAGATAATATTATTTAGTAATTAAATGTGTATTTGGAGTAACAATAAAATCAACATACAGTACAAAGTCATTTATAGAACAATTTTGTAAATCTTACTACGTAATATTAAAAATCTGAAAGTTACGATGTTTGGATGTTTGTTACTCAATCACGCCAGACCATTAGAACGGATCTGGATGAAATCTGGCACACTCTGGAATAGGGCATAAGCTTAACTTTAACCCGGGAAAACATAAGATTCCTGTGGGATATACAACTTCTTATTTTGGTTTCACGACTCAATCACGCCACGGGACATTTATAGAACAAGTTTGTAAATGTTAAATGTTAATGAATAAAGATGTATAGATCTCTGACCAGATATGCTGCCTGGGCGGCGCACTCCGCACTATTGTTGACAGCAGTCACAGCGTAGTTCATATTCTTCAAAAACTCTTCACGGGACATCGCCTCATCGCTGTTCAGTTTATCTGTATCCAATCATAAAACAACATTATTTACACATAAAATACTGCATAAAATAGCAACCACGTATTTCCGTGTCTTTTAGGGAAAACTTTCTGAAATCTCAGTATTTATTTATTTATTTAATGTTATTACAATGTTAACAACACAGGAGAAAGTCAAATAAAAGTGTAGTAACTCACTGAGCACATCTCGTTGGGACTGCATGGTGTGTACGCTGAGTGCGTATGACGTGGCCCCGGCGGGCCTCGGCGCAGCTTGCAGCATGCTCCGGTGCAGTGCCAGGCCTCGAGCGGCCTCACCGCAGGCTCGCACTACTGTGACCTTCTGCCCTGCACCCGTACTTCGCACCTACATACAGAAACAGTCAGATTTTTCTTTGAGAAGGATTGCCTGATGAAAAGCAATCGGCGTCGTCCATGGGCACTCGTAATACTACCTTGCGTACTAAGTGCGTTGTTGACTTTTTGTGGGCTTTAAGGGATTTAATGATAGAGGTATTTGGAGGATTGATGATAGGGGGATGGATGGAGGGGTGAAGGATAGAGGGGGAAAGGGTTAGGTCTCCAGTAACCTCACTCACACACACAACGTAATTATTGCTTAACACCGGTTTTCTGTGAGGCCGTCTGTCCACTATTTTGTCCCATCGGTCTAAGTTCCAGCATTATAAGTCGATGGTCTTTGGAAGACCATCATTTTTCTTTCAAAAACATCCTCCCAAAAGACCGGAAGCACTTTTGCAACTCAAGTTAAGGGCAGAGGGCGTCTCCATCGGTGGCGTTTACTCCGTTATCCCATAAAATAATTCATCGTCATATTTTCAAAGTTGTGGTTTTTTTGTTAACATTCTTCAGATTTTTTTTGTGATAGGAGGCTAACGACCAGTCGGATTGTCGCAAGCAATCGGCGCTGCCTATTGACATCCGCAATACCAGAAGAGTTATAAGTGTGATAGGAGTTTCAGACCTTGTCGGCCTTTTGGAGATGGGAGTTTCAGAGATTTAGAGATTGGAATTGGGGAGGAGAATAAGAAGGAATAAGTCTCATTTCATGTCACATAGCTTAGTAGTACAAACCAGTTTGTTAATAGAGTCGTTGAGATGACGACAAGCTTCCAGCAGCTTCCTCTTAGAGTCGTGATGATTTGGTTCCTAGAAAAAAATGAGTTCTTAATATTATTATTTATTGTACAATTTCTACTTAAATCAAATCGGGGATAGACTTGGAATTTATACTTATTTATCATATCTACATGTAAATATCATCTACCTACTCAAAGCATTTATTTCAACAGTTTTAAACGTGACATTTGGGTTGACAATAATGGACATTGAAGCCAGTTACGCATTCCAAAGTGCAGACTTGTATGGAGAAGAACGAGCAAAAACGCCCAAGATCATTCATAAAAAATGATAAAAAGAGCTTATTGTAGACAAAGCCGCAATCAACTCACCTGATAGACTAGTTCAGAAGTCTTCAGCAGGCTGTAGGTGGAGAAACACATCTCATGGGCAGCATCCTCGATCATTTTACATTGAGCTGGTTTCTGAAAAATGGAAACAGTTATAGGCATAACTTACTTTATTTGTAACCTGGCTAGTAGGTTTTTTTCCTGTAGTTTTTAAGTGTGGGAAAGCCATGCTTCGGCACGAATGGGTCGGCTCGACCGGAGTGATACCACGGCCTCACAGAAGACCGGCGTGAAACAATCACAGCGTTGTGTTTCGCCGTGTGAGTGAGGTTACCGGAGGCCCAATCCTTCCCCGCCCCCAATCCCTCCTCAATCCCTGAATCTCCAAATCCCTAATCCCCAAAAGGTCGGCAACGCACTCGTAAATCCTCCGTTGCGGGTGTCAATGGGCGGCGCTGATTGCTTACCATCAGGTAATACGTCTGCTCGTTTGCCGACCAATTACAAAAAAAAGTCATCGTAAGTAATCGTCAAATTAATATCAAGTGTGACTATAGAGAAAGAGGATTCTAAGAACTAAGTAATATTTTGCTTTCTTATAAAGTTCATTTCGGTTTTTCAATAAATTTCGTAACTAATTATTGGTAATATTATTTGCAAAGGGCTTGACATTCTAAAATGAAATCTATTTTAATGCCAGCAATAAAGTGCTTTTTGTGAGGGGAATATCATCAAATGACTTCTTCTACCCACAAGGACGGAAGAGAGTGTCAGACTCTGACAGACTAATTGAAAACATCCGTTCCTTCTCTTGGTTTAGGCCGAGGTCGCGGTGACTTATTGCGCTTGCCCCGCAACCCCGGCTGAGAGCAATAGGATCTACCTTGGCATCGGCTAGTGCGCGGGCGGTGTTGGCGAGTTGTAATGCGGCCTGCGTGGCGGCGCGCAGACTGCGCGGCAGGCTGGCCACGCTGCCGGCGCTGGCGGCGCTGGCGGCGCCCAGCAACACGGCGCCGCCCATGGAGCTCAGCTTCGACGACAGCTGCTGCACCTTCTCCTCCAGCTGCCTGTCATATCAGATGATACTCAATTAAAACTTGACAAACTACTAGTCAAATTTAACATTTGATGATCAACTAGTTAAATTTAGAAGCATGTGCCTACCAAATGCGAAGAATTTTTTAATAGGAATAAATTATTACAGTTAATTTTACAAGGGATCGTTCAACTTAATCACATATTATGAGGCGTGGGAGAACACAAACGATATTTTGGAAATATTCTGTGATTTAACCAAGGCGTTTGATTATGGGCTTCATGATACATTGATCAGGACGCTATTCAACAACAGAATAAGGGGTCCCCTCTATACCTTCTAAGTTCATACTTGAGTAACAGGGTTTAGAGAGTGAAAGTAAACGGAATAATTTCTGCCGGGTTCCTTTTGTGAGGATGGGTGTTCCGCAGGGTTCGATTTTTGGCCTATTTTTATCTTTATAAATTACTTCTCTTCTTATTTATTTAAATGAATTGCCTTACCTTTCCTAGAATAAACATGATAAATTAAAACGACAAATGGTTTTTGACAATGTAAACAGTAGTCTTTGAGAAACAGTTCACTGGTTTGGTGTAAAACCAGCGTGTTTGTCAAGTGGAGTCCTGTAGTTACAACTGTCTTTGTAGGTATAACATACCTATAGATGGGTTGTCGAAAAAGCTCAGTTCTGCAGCGAATGCAGTCAAGAAATTTGACAGCTGAAGATACAGCGCGGTTATAATTAAAACAAAATTATTTTAGTTATTTTCATAGCGTCATGTCATATGGTATTTTGTGGTGGCGGAATGCTGCCGACATTCAGTCTATCTTTGTTCTGCAGAGTAGGGCTATTCGATCAATCTATAATCTCTAGTGTGAGGCATTTTGCCTCCAGCAATGTCACTCACACGGCGAAACACAACGCTGTAGCCGTTTCACATAAGTTGTCTGTGAGGCCGTAGTATCACTCTAGTTCAGCAGATACATTCGTGCCGAAACATGGCTTTCCCACTCTTGTATATCAAAAAGCATAATTATTTCTTGAAAATTGGCCAGAAACTGGTGATTATCTTACTTGGGAGTGCCTTCTACTGGTTCTCGAGGGCATAGCAGTAGCTTGTCGATGTCGTCACTATTCAGTACTTGGGTCGAGAGCTTCCTTGGATGGAGATCATATTCCAGGTCACTTATTTCCTGAAATATAAGGAAAACAATTATTAAATTTCAAACAAAGGATCTAATCAAATCTAAAAGTCAGTATTACAAACCTTTATATATTTCTTTACTTTCAGGTTCGGTTCGTAAGTGTCTGACTTATAACTAAATGCGTAGGGACACATGATCCCCTGTGTGCTTGTCACTATCCTGTCCAAGTTTTGAATGTATCTGTAATGTAAAAAAATAATCACGACATTCATTTCTCACTATATTTGTAACTTCACAATATATCTTTGTATTTTGGAACAACAGTCACTGTACGATTGGTTCGGTGGCTGGGGTAACTGGCTGCATCAATGAATTGTTGTTCCGGGTTTGGGTGTAATGTGTATGTTTCTAACCGCACCCATGACACAGGAGAAAATCTTAGTGCGGGGCAATGTTTAAAAAAAATTGTAGCTATAAGTACAATCTTTGTGGATCACACAAAGAGTTGTTCCTTGCGGGAATCGAAACAACGACACGTTGCGCGGCAGCCTTGCCTAGCCACCAGGCCAACCGTGCAGTCTTTCTCCAAAAACATTAGAGGAGATAGTTACCAAAAAACACTTACTTATTCGTAATAGGCTCTTCGGTGGTTTCTTCGGACAATTCCAAGGGTTTCTCGGCTAGCTCCTTGTTCGTGTGTGGGTCTGGCAGCGTGGCGCGTTTGTGGGCAGCGCCGGCCACGGCGACGTGCGTGAGGGCGCGCAGGACGTGGCGCGGCTCCCCGCGCGCCGCGCGCTGCCCCGCACGCACCAGCCGGGACCGCGCGCGCCCCACGCAGCACTGCTCGCCCAGCGAACTCCGGTACGACTATGGAATACCAAACGTTCTAGAACCTCCCAAAATCTTCAGCAGACACAACCAAGAAAACACCGAAACACTGAAGTCACATGGACTTCAGTGAATGTATGTGTACAGTATGAGGACATGAATGACTGTCTTGGCTCCCGCAACGAAATAAATCAGAATATATTATTTTAAGAGAAGAAAAAACTAAATAGTTTCCATTTCCTTTGGTAAGAAATTATGTTATTATCTAAAGTAAACCTTATATCATATTTTGAAATATTATATATATATTTTCTGATGCTGCCACCCCTTGGCTATGCTAAACCACCCATAGGTCAATTACCATAACGCACTTTGATCATCAATAAAGGCCCAAAATAACGTCTTTTAAAAATCTTAACATACTTCCCTTCTTTTTTTAGGTCTATCTATAAAAAACCTCTTTTATGGTACCTTGGTTTGCTTAACGCTCTTCTTGGCAGCTTCCTCAGCCAAAGCTCTCATTGTGGTACTCTTGAAATGGTCCAGGTTCTGAAGAGTCTCATTAAACGCTGAGCTCTGAGTCGCCATTATATGACTCTTCGTTGCAAATCTATTGAGTAAAAAAGGAATTATTATTAAAAAAAATACTAGAAGTTTCACCCTTAACCAGGGTATAACATTGCCTATTTGATATTTGTTGCCGGGAGCTGTTACCTTAGCAAATGGCAGCTCTCCAACATTGGCAGTGACTTGGCTAGGAGCTCCTGTCTCGTCTTCTGATCCTGGACTCCTTGAATCGAGTTATTTATCTCCTTCACCAGATTATCACACTCCTGGAAATGAAATCAGTACTTATGGTCTATTGGTCTGGGTAATCAACTAAACGTAAAAAATTTTGGCATGGCTTTTTATCTAAAAGCTGTCTGAAAGTTGTTTGTGAATATGTTTACAATCAGGTAAGTATTTACATCTACTATCTCGTAATATCTACTAACTCGATGCCAGCTAATGAACTAAATTTAAACTAAGACCTCTTTACTATGAAAACAGATACAACGATTCTTTGACTTTAATTAAAAAACTGACGGACCATATTATGAGAAAGTTAACTTAATCTTTATCATAAACCCTTAATTCCGTTAGACCAAAAAATATATTTCTTTACCTGCCCAAACAGGTCGATATCAAGGATATCATCGACGGTATTCATGACGTGGACACTTTCACCAAAGTTTTCGTTCGGGTTCAACAACCTTGTCGCATCCTCACTAATCTTACTGCACAGCATTTTGATGTCCTGTTACAGTAATGAAATTAAAATTGATTGAGTACAGAGACACAATTGGTAATAATTTTTCATTTGAATAAATCCATCTTTTTTGTTTTGAACGTGCATAGTAAATAACTTATCAGAGAGGACAGATTCTTTCAGATAAATGTAGCATTGCAATTAGACATTGACTGTGATACATAAAATTGATTATCAGAAGTCAAAGCATTAAGTCAATTAATCCCGAAACAGGTAATTTTGAAACAACAAATTAGAAGTCCCGCTTCCCTAAATTTAAAAACAAACTTGTCTTACCTCACTTGTCCTCTTCCCTATAGGACCCTCATTCTTTCTTACTATCTTCTGAAGATCTCCAGCCTCATTTACAAGGTCTTGCAAGAAGTCCTGAAAGTAAAATGTTCATGGTAGTTTTCAATATGACTATTATAATATCGGGACTCCCAAAACCTAGGAGGAAAACTAAAAGCTAGTAATCCAGAAAAGAGCTACCCTTTTCACTAGATGGCACCACTGTAGCGTGAGGTCATGTTTGTTCACTCACAGAAGCTGTAAATGCCTGTTAGCAAATATCATATTTGGCCAGTGACCTCTGTTCTATCTGATACGAGAAAACTTCCTTTGTAGAAATACTCTCTAGCAGGCAAGGTACATACCCTGAAGTCCACAATATTGTTCTGTTCCTGTCCAGCTTTCGAAGGTCTGGACTGCAACACCGTCATCTGCAGCTCGTCTATCGCTATTTCAAACTCTTCGCGTTTGTTTTTGTCCTAAAAATGTATCGTCATTGTCATAAACTCTATATTTCTTTTTTTTATGTGATAGGTCGGCAAACGAGCGAGAATCGAGAAGGATTGCCTGATGGAAAAGGGGTTTGGGGTTTAGGGATTTGGTGATTTATGGATCGGGGAGGGATTGAGGAAGTCCTCTTCCTCAATCCCTCAATTCTCAGGAAGGATTGGGCCTCCTGTAACTTTACTCACACGGCGAAATACATCGCTGTGGTTATTTCACGACGGTTTTTTTGGTACTTTTATAACGAAGATCGTATTCAACTGGAGCCGGTTTTGGCCCAGTTTCTAATTACAAATATAAAAATACTTTTTGTTTTGGGATTTTATCCTAACGTCCTATTCTCAACACGGAGCTAGGTAAATGGTTAGGTTTATTTAAAAAAAAATCATGCTATTGAAAGGAATAGACAAAAAAAGAAATAAAAACACTACTTTATAATAAAATTTTGCATACTAGCTATTCCTGAGTAGTTTTACCTAATGCTGGGTTCCTCATTATAGCGTGATGTTTTAATATAGACTACAGCAATCCACACCAAAAATTATTAACATAAAGTCTCCATCAGTACTTACATGAGGAGCTCGTTGGTACCGCGCATTAGCCAGGTCCAGGGCGCGCAGAGCCTCTTCCAGATTACTACAGTAATCAGTATACTCTTTCTTCATCTGCGAGCTGATGGTATCGTCTCGTACCATATTCTAGAGTTTTTCATAAAATAAAATTAACTTTTGTAGTTTGTTTATGGACGATACTGACACAGTGAGGGAACTTGGACCTTTTTATAGATAATAAGTTTAAAACCGCCAATTTGAGCAAGCGTGGAAACTAATGCTCTATCATTCTCCCTGTGAGAAGGCATATTTTCTTAGCGATGGGACATTTATAGGGTTTTCTAACCTACCTTCTGAGATAAAAAACTTCAAATTGATTATTTGGTAATTTCAATTACGTTACCTGCATCTGCGCGAAATCATCCGCTTCCTAGATTGTAGTGTGATTTCTAACATGTTCGTAAAGTTAAAAGTTTCGACTAAACTAAACTAGATGGCGTTGTTAGATGACGTCAGTTTTTAAATCGCTGTGTTAAGATTTTCCGTCGATAGACTATAACACGTTCGATTTTTTTTTTGTAAGTATTGAGTTTGAGATATTAAATTGAATCGTAATAAATGTGCTAGTATCCACATGATCTCTCAATGTTTCCCTCACTTACCCCCATATACTTTACCGAAAAAAAGAATAACGCCAAAAATTATTTATAATTTTGAACCTAAAGTTTCCGAGACGAGCGAACAAACAAACTAAAAATACGAATACGTATATTACCTATACCTATAATAAAATGATTAACGATAAAATTCTTACCGCATAGCATGAGAATCAAAGCAGTTACATCACTGGAGTTTCTTAGGCACTCAGCGTCATTTCTTGAGCCAATAAACATATAAGCACATATAAATATTAGTTAGAACATTAGTGTATGACAAAAATATTAAGATAAATGTATGACATTATTTTTGAAACAGTCTTTTAAAATTAGTCACAGTAATTAATTGAACATTAAGCGAATTAGGTTAAACTGTAAAACTGTAAGGTTTTTAAATGTTTGATAAGGCACTCGATTAGTTTCGAGTCAAGTGTGGGGCCCATAGATATAAGCAGCGTGAGCTATCCCATCAAATAATTAAGTTAGTCAGCCTAAGCAGTTTTTAGGGTAGAAAATCGTCAAATGAATTGTTTTGCTCTGGGTAGAATGAGAGGGATTCCAGACTCTTACTCTGACTAAAAACCCGCCCGCCAGGAGAAGCATCTCTTGCTCCAGGATGTGAGTAAGCCATACTAAATAAATGAATAATAATAAGTTATTTACAAACAAAAACTGCCTTTAATAATCTCATATCAACCTTAGCATTGTCAATGATCCTCTCAGTCAAGTTTCTCAATGGGAAGTCCAAGTCTGCAATTGGATCTACCTCCCTCCTCTTTCCAAGTCTACCAGCTCTTGTATCCTTCCTCAACTTCTCTACCAGCTTCTCAAGATAAGCAGCTTCTCCCAACAGTTTTTGGACGTTATGCTGCTGGGTGGAAGCAAGAGGAGCCAGGGTGTTTGTGAACGTGGTGAGGGATGATGATAAGTGGTCTGCTGAGGATACCAGGGCATCCTGGCACGTCTCGTGGTGTATTGTGGGCGCGATGAGCTGTAATAAAGAGTTTTTGTGTATTATATAATTTGTATGTGCCGATAGTATGAAACAAATTCACTTTCTCTATTTCCATATACTTAAGTATCTTAAGTTACACTAAGAATTTAGATACGGTTTTTTAATGGATAGAGTGATTGAAGAGAAAGATTTATATGTGTATAATAATGTCCAGGTCCAGATCCAGGTGGAGGAATTTAGTATCAGTATTGCACCCGGCGCGGGCCGCTAGTAAATGATGAGTTGCATAATTCTTCTAAAAAAACTTTTAATACCTTGGCAGTATAGACTAGCTTCCCAGCAGAATCAACGCAGCTAGTACCAGCGGCACAAATGTCTCGGACTTGAGAATCCGCGGTCCCGGGATTGTTAGCCTCACTAGTGCTACTGGCCAAGCTCGTGGCTTCCAGAGCCAGCCTGGATGCAGCATCACCTATAGCTTTAGCTCGCGATATCGCCTGTAAGCAGAATTAATGTGAAACTGATGGATGATGGATGATTGATGATGGATGATGGATGATGGACGATGGAATATGGATGACGGATGATGGACGATGGATTATGGATGATGGTTGCTGGATGATGGATTATGGATTATGGATTATGGATGATGGACGATGGATTATGGATGATGGATGATTGATGATGGATGATGGATGATGGATGATGGATGATGGATGATTGATGATGGATGATGGATGATGGATGATGGATGATGGATGATGGATGATGGATGATGGATGATGGATGATGGATGATGGATGATGGATGATGGATGATGGATGATGGATGATGGATGATGGATGATGGATGATGGATGATGGATGATGGATGATGGATGATGGATGATGGATGATGGATGATGGATGATGGATGATGGATGATGGATGATGGATGATGGATGATGGATGATGGATGATGGATGATGGATGATGGATGATGGATGATGGATGATGGATGATGGATGATGGATGATGGATGATGGATGATGGATGACGGGTGATAGATGTTGGATGACGGGTGATAGAGGATGGATAATGGGTTACGGATATTGGATGAAAGACGAATCATAGTTTGATGATGGATGAGTGACATACCTCCTTCTCCAGGGCAGGATCTACATTAGAGCTGACTACACGTAACAATTTGACGGACTGGTCTCCGAATACTATCGCTGCATCGTTCAGTTTCTGTCACAAACAAAATGTTATATGTATAATAGTGTGCGAGTATATTGCCATAATATGCCAGGCAAAATTATACACTACTATGTGCCAGTTTAAAAAAATGGGTGATATGTGGTGATATAAAAACTAGGGAATTCCTTGTTTTGTGATTTGTCCAATGAGTTTGTTATAAAAAGACTTACTTCCTTCTCAGACTTGGCGGTGTCACAGAGAATTTTGGTCGACTGGCAGAGACCGATCATATCTTCCAAGAATTTCTTGCGAGCCTCATCGGACATGGTGGTACAGATTGCGCTGCCATCTACAATTATTACAAAATATTTGTAAAGCCATTAATTTGATAGAGAATTTGCTACAATTAACAGACTTGGCGGACCGGTAAAATTCTGATGTTTATAGAGCGACTGGCTGCCGTGGATTCCATTCCCGCAGAGAACAACACTTTGTGTGACAAACAAATTGTTGTTTCGGGTCTGGGTGTGGTGTTTATGTCAAATTGTATGTTTGTAACGTATCCATGACACAGCAGAAAAGACTAGACTGGGGAAACGTTTTTTTCTAAAAAGAAAAAGATAAAAGGAAAGAATAGAGTTTAACTAACTGCCTGATTATCAAAGTGGCATAGAACGACCCTTAGTAGGATAATACGCTAATTGAAATTATTGCAAACGCCTTTACGACACATGAAAAAAATTCTTCTGTTGAGCACGTTTAAAAAATGTTTTCATAAAGTGATATGATTATATTTGTTGTGTCATATAGAAAATCTATTCATCTATTCAGTCAGCTAGGTCCAATTAAAGATATACTAGTTCTCACAAATGAGTCAAAATACTATTAAGACTTACCATTAACAACGCTCCTGACAGATTCTGTGAGCGAAATAGTGGGTTGCATTGCAGCTTTATAGTCCAATTTGTCTGCATCTGTGTCCAGGACAACAAATATAATTACTATCTTACAAAATTTCTCTTAAGTAAGAACAAGTTATAGTGAGCATACCTACTTTTTTTTTCAAAATCGAGACGAAAAATGTATATCTTTTTATTAACCGACTTCAAAAAAGGAGGAGGTTCTCAATTCGATTGTAATTCATCTTCACATAAGCAGTATGCTTTTGAATTCACTAATATGCTTGCTATCTTATAAAGATGTTCCAATTTTTAAGCTTGTTTTTATTAGTTTATCGTTTTCAGATTTCTTTTTCATTTTGCGCTATTCTTTAATTCATCGTGCGTGTTTCATATCACAAATCTATCATGAGACCTAACCCATGATATGCCGGAGCGCAGATCCACACGAGACACAATGTGTTTTATATTGTTTCTCATATATCGGCAGACAAGAGATTAATAAATTGATTATGTTAATTTACAACTTATTTGCGGAACTGCTCAACTAAGTAATGTTAACAATTTCAGTCTACGTCCAAAATTATTTCCGTATAAAAATTTCGATCATTGCACTTACAATTAGCCGAAACCAGTGCAGCCACTTCGATTCCAGCCTTAGCGAGGGTATCTTCCATGTGCTGCTCTCTCCTGACCACCTCCAGAGCTGGAAGGGCCTGACCAGCGATCGTCGATTTCTTTGCTTTGTATAGCTGTAATAAACCCAAAGGATGTTTCACGCCATTTGTTTCTTAAACCTTACAAAACCTGTAGGTACTATTAAATTTAGCATATCACATTTCATCATGTCATTTTGGTATAAATAATCAAGGCCACAGATTTAACAGCAAAGATAACATAAGTATACCAGTAAAAAATTGATTAATTCTATCCATCCTGTTCTTGCTCTAAGATGGCCATACATCGAAAAACAATAGAGTTGGCATACCCCAACGAACAAAAAATCTATTTATCTTTTGTGTGGGAGAGCCATGCTTCGGCACGAATGGGTCGGCTCGACGTTAGTGATACCACGGCCTCACAGAGAATCGGCGTTTAGTAACCAACGAGTTGTGTTTCGCTGTATTGAGCTTGACTGAGGTTACCGGAGGCCCAATCCTTCCCCTACCCCAATTCGTTCCCTTTCCCAAAATCTCCAAATCCCTAATCCCCAAAAGGTCAACAACGCACTCGTAACTCCTCCGTCGTTGCAAGTGTCCATAGGCGACGCTGATTGCTTACCATCAGATAATCCGTTTGCTCGTTTGCCGACCTATCACATAAAAAAAACTATGTCTATCTCTTTAAATAGATTGACTTAAGTAATTTATGGTAGACTATAAAAAGAAATCGACAACCTTGTTCTGTCCAAATAACGGTACATTTATAACGGGCACACAAGCTCTCAAAACCAATACAACTCTATTAAGCCAGAATCTACAGTAGATATAACCATAAAACGAAACCACTAAAGTACGGTATCTTAGATTCAAATAAATCAAAAATATGTATTAATAAGAGGAGAAGATCAAATCAATAATTCTATAATATAAAAATGAATTGCAAAATATGTTGGTAAGCGCATAACTCAAAAACGCCTAAACCATTTTTGACAATTCCTTTTGTTTTGTATTTATTATAGTCAGGAGAAGGTTCTTAAGAAATAAAATATTAGAAAAGTAGTGGGGAAAATTAGGGAAAAATATGGACGCGTGCGAAGCGGGGGTGGGCCGCTAGTCATGAATAAATCAATAAAATACCATTTTGACTTTTTGATACTACAGTAAAAATGGACTGAATCCCCAGGAGAGCCATATATTTGCTACATCATCGCAAAACAATACTTCTTCCGTTTATAATCAGTGATTATGCTCACCACTTGAAGCCCTTCCTCTGCAGAATTTAATCCTCTTTCAGCATTCTCGATCATATCCAAGAACTGCTTGTATGCAAGCTTCTCTTCTTCAGCTGTCTTCGAAGTTTTGGCATGGCCAAGGTTTCCTGGAAATAAAAAATAGACGGTTCAGTTTTCAATAGTTTAAAGAAAAATTTCCTTTTGATCCAGTTGTTCAGTAGTATTTACAGACCAGTTTCCTCTGCGCGCATTGCATCAAGAAATCCCTGCGTGCCATCTGCCTGCCCAGAGTGCACCGCTTTAGTCACAGTATGCTTAGGGTCGCGCACAGGTACAGCTGGCTTGCGAGGCTGTACTGCTGGTTTTGGACCTGTTTATATATAGAGCAACATTAATATGGGTGGCTTTAGTGTGGGAGAGCTAAGCTTCGGCACAAAAGGGTCGGCTAGACCAGAGTGATACAGAATACCGGCGTGAAACAACCCACAGCGTTGTGTTTCGCCGTGTGAGTGAGGTTACCGGAGGCCCAATCCTTATATCCGCAACCCCTTTCCCCAAAAAGCCGGCAACGTAACTCCTTTGAGTTGCGGGTGTCCATGGGCGGCGCCGATTGCTTACCATCAAGTAATCCGTCGGCTCGTTTGCCGACTTATAAGATAAAAAAAATTATGTAGTGTGATGTTTTCGAAGAATGAAGTAACTTCGGTCATCACCCCAGATCCTCGAAGTTGCGGTGCTAGCGCAGAGGTATCGTGACCTTGAACTGGACCGGGAGAAGGAACGGAGTGTTTTTAGTCAGAAATAGATTCATTCTACCTCGCCTCACCCCAGGGTGATTTTCATTCATTTTTTGAAAATCATTCTTGAACTCCCCAAGGAACATTTATTAACAGTTTCTTACGCTCATCAGTTTTGGCTGTGTCATTAACTTCTATGAATAAAATGTGTTTGCCAGAACGTTTATGTTACATAGTTGTGGAAGAAACCACTGTAATAGAAGGGTGTTGCAACTCACCACGTGTGGTTTCTCCTGGGTGCTTGCTTTCTGGACTAACTACGTAGAGTAGCTTACTAGAAGCATTCGCCAATCTAGCAGTAGCTTCGTTTAGTTTCTGGAAAAAATCGGAAAATGCAGATGGTCTTCTAATATTATATACATTATACAATTATCGTGTCACAGTTTTCGTTGCCATACTCATCTAAAACGGCTTCACCGATTTTGATGAATGAGCAATTTTGTGCTGATCCGGTATCTATGAGAATCGGCCAACACCTATTTTTTCTCCCCTAAATGTTAGGGGTAGTCCACCCTTAAATTTTATTTTTTATGATACAACATTGAAAAATACATACAATCCCCAATTTTCACCCTTCTACGATCAACCCTTTTTGACTTTTTGGGAAAATCCTAAAAGATATTCCATTAATTGTTGTCAAAAATCCCACTCATTGTTTTATCTGTGGAGACTTCTCATAAGCGATATTATTACTGTATATCTGTATATCTATAATATAAAAATGAATCGCAAAATGTGTTGGTAAGCACATAACTCATAAACGGCGGGACCAATTTTGCCCAATCCTTTTTTTTTGTATTTATTATTGTCAGGAGATCTTATCACAGAAAATATAAGAGAAGTAGAGGGGAAGATTAGGAAAGAGTGACCCTGTGATAGCGAGATAGTTGGACCTGTGCGAAGCGGGGGCGGGCCGCTAGTTTTTAATATTTATGAACTATTTTTGTATTAGTCTGTAAGCAATCTTGAAATAAAAAAAAATTACGAAAAGCATTCCCTGTGCTACTTCTACTTAGTAGATACCCTAAAAATCAATGCCACTTTTAATTGTTACTGAAAAATGCCTTTTCCGATTTGGCAAATTTTGGTCTTGAATTATTTGCGAGCGTCAAGAAAAGGTTTGTACGTACATAAAATTATAAATAATGATAAAATCGACATCCACGCGGGCGGAGTCGCGGGCTACCACTATTTTTTTATATTTGCAGATAGACTCAGAAAACTAGACAGTAAGTATTATTATTGCGTCATAAAACTGATAAAACAAAATAACTTACAATAGGATGTCCTGTACTATCACAGATTATGCGACTGGCTTCACACAATTCTTTGAGCTCCTGCATCATGGCTGCTTGTTCAGCTGGCTCTTTCGTTCCACATATCTTGTGGGAGTCTGCAAGAGGGTTGACAATATCAGACTCCAAATCACAATTTCTCATTCCAGAAAAACACATTTTTATGCGTGAATTTGGTTACCCTTGCGCTAACGTTATTTCACGACGGTTTTAACGTGAGACCGTGATATCACACCTGTCGAACCGGTCTATTCGTACCGACCTATGACCCTCAAACACTTTAATTAAGGACGTGGGACAAGTTGATTTTAAAAACGCATAACGTTCCAAAAAAAAACCAAAACTTGTTAGGTAAACTGAATACATACCTTGGACGATTTCAGGCATTAACTCGATGACAGTGGTGACGGCCCGTTCTGCTGCCGGGTAGTCTGGGTTCTTACCATCTGAAGTAAGAAAAGTATAAATAATATAACTAACCGCCTAAAGTTCAAGATCGAGCCTATGTCAGAAGTCAAAAATGACTGATGGCTACAGCCCAAAGTCTCAATTGTCTAATCTCAAGTCAAGACTTTCGGTTTTCATTTTCCAGCTTTCGGCGTTCGGCTTTCAGCTTTCGTCTTGTGATCTTCTAGTACATAGTAAACCATGTTACGAAATGTCAAAGTCTGAGTTAAAACCAAATCATTTATTTCAATTAGACAGCTACAGGCAATTTCGAAAGTCGATAGTCATCAAATGACTTCAGAAGTCAGACTGTTATTGACTAAAACCCCCCTGTTCGTTCTCCTGCTCTAGGCTGAGGTCGCAGTGCCCCATTGTGCTTGCCCCGCAACCCCGGCTGAACATCAGCTCTATAGGGCAAATTGTTATACGAACCAGTGGTGGCAGCAGCCAGAGCAGCCAGAGCCGTGTTGAGCTGCGCCAGGCGCCGGGACAGTTGCTGCTGCAGGGACGCAGTATCCGCCTGCTGCAGCGGCTCTACTATGACTGGCTAAAATAAAACAAAATTTATACCCAAAATAAAAACTATCATTTTAAAAAATGTCCTAAAAAAATATATAGGTTATATCATAAATAAAATCATAACCTACCTTCTTCATATGTTGCTCTGCTGTGTCCAGCTTACTCTTGGCTCCAGACATGGAGCTCACGAACTTCAAACGTTGCTGCTCTTGTTGGGGAGACAGTACCACGTCAGCGCCTAGTTAGTATACTTATTAGTAAGACGAAAAAGAAGGATAAGGTATAATTAATGTGTTTTATTATATTGAAAGTTCTGGATGCTTTACCAGAGGCTGATTGACAAGCTTGCATGAGTTTGTCGAGACAGTCAGCAAGCTGGCGGTGCGAGGTGCCGAGCTGGCGGCGCGCGTCCGGGAGCTGAGCTGTGTGAGGCTCGCACGACGCCGTCAGCTCGTCCGCGCAGACACGCAGCTTCTGCGCCGCTGAGATCAACTGCTTCTGGCACTGAGGGTCGCTGATCGTCGGAGCTGTCGTCTAATAAATAGATACACCGTTTAGTTACAGAAGAGCGTTGTATCAATGTTTATAAAGTAGCCTTCTTCGCATGACGGTCCTACTTGCGCGACAGTGAGCAGTGCCTGCGCGGCGTCTGCAGCGCTGGCCCCGCAGCGGTCCAGCTCCGCAGCTGCGCCTGCATCTGCCACGCGCTCCGTCAGCTGCTGCACCTGGCTCAGCAGCTCCGATGCCTTGCCGCATGAAGTTGCGGCCAGAGCCATCACCTGAAACGGTAATACAATACATCCACATAATTCCAGGATCTTGCAGGATGCTGCACCAATAAACCTCTAACAGACCGAGCTCCTCACCTGTTTCTCGTGAGCATCCTGTGCCTTGGGGCTCACGACGTACACCAACTTGCCTGACGCCGCGGAGAACTTGGCGGCAGCGTCGCTGACTCCCTGCAGCAAGAAGAAGTCATTCATCGCTCTCATTCAGACACGTGCACAGTAAGTTACCCACACAGAGCCCCACCAACCTGTGCCTGCCCCGCGTGCTCACACAGCTCCTGCGTGGCCTCGCACAGCGCGCGCAGCTCCTGCAGCATGGCCGCCTGCTCCGCGTCTGACTTCGTGCCGCATAGCGTGCGGGACTCTGCAGACAATACGACAGTTGATCGGTCTAACACGAGGAGAGAGTTGTGGCAGAACAATATCGAGAGGAATGGACTGGTTCGACAACTGACCTTGTACCACTTGCGGCATGAGTTGGGCAATCTGCTGGATCGCCTGGTCTGCCGCTGCGTAGTCGGGACGCTCACGGTCTGCGGACAGGCGACGTGTTAGTAGCGGTCTGTACTATGTAAGGGCCATGGAATATAGTGTACATGAGATAGTCCCCACAGACCTGCGGTGGCAGCAGTGAGCGCGGCCACGGCGGCGTTGAGCTGCGCCACGCGCGCCCCGAGCCTGCGCTGTAGCGCCGCGCCGGCATCTTCCTTCATCAGCTGACACACCAACGGCTGGCGACACACACACATTGTACCACCACGTCACACCCCACCATGGCTTTCAGGAACATAATGCCTCGACATGAACTCACCTCTTTTAGCAGTTGTTCAGCTGCATTCAGGCGACTCTTGGCACCAGACGCGCTGTTAATGAACTTCAGACGTTGCTGCTCTTGTTGTTCTGAGCTGGCAGCACCTGTAGTACCTGGGATACGATTCGTTTTTAAATAATCCAATATTATCAACGTAATTGCGTCTGAGTGTTTCTGGGTTGTTCAGAACTAAACCTCTGATCAAACTAATTTTTTATTTATAGATCATTTTTACTACAGGGCATTTCACAGAGGCCATAAGATTTTAGTTTTATTTTAAGCATATGGCGGCAAACAAACATATTGATCACCTGATAGTAAGCAATATGCACTGCACCGCGGATGGAACGGTGGATCATCATCATCATCATCATCATATCAGCCATAGGACGTTTACTGCTGTACATAGGCCTCCCCCGTTAACTGACTTCCAGATAGGCCGGTTGATCCTTTCCATTCCAGGAGCTTGAAGGCGTCTTCC